TCATATTCGATCGATGGGTTCAAACCGCGTCCCTGTCAGAAACTGTTTGCTGAGGTTGTCTAATTTCTTAGCCTGCTCTTCTGTTAACCAATTTCTCCAGTCACCAACTTCACCTGAAAGGAAACAATCGCAAATATGTTCACCTCGTTGTACTGACAGGCATCACCACACTAGACCTTCATTCGCCGATGAATTTGTATATGTTTCACCCAAACAATGATTAAAGAGAAAAAGGGTAACAGAACGCTGCTCCTCTTCGGTGCATTTCAAAATTGGGGTGGCCAAATGGTTTACAGCTAGGCTGTGACATTTAGACCTTTCGGCCTAAAACATAAGCATTTATTAAATCCTTCATTAATCGACTTTTATAACGTGTTGAGGGCCTACTCCCCCCCCCCCCCCGCCCCCCATCTCAATGGGTCCCAGAACCCAAGTGGGAATATTCATTATTTTATAAAGAAAGAGTTAAAAATGCTTTCAGACTGAAGTTACCCAAATGGACGCAGCTAGTGTATGGCTGTGATAGATCTGATCTGTGACAAAATTCACACCCCAGTTGGTACTTCAAATTATGTTCTAGCTGTCGTTGGCTCCATTATAACCTTACGTTGAACTGGTTTACGTGGCGCTGTGATTTCGGTCACAGGCATGAGGCAAAGTTAAGTCTGATGTGATGTGTATAAGGAGATACTCCGTACCCCAGTCATTCACTGTTCTGGTTTTACGGAACCTCATGCAAGACTCCTGCTGCACGTCCCCGTCGTGCGCCACGGATAATGTCTCAAATGAGCATTAACAGAGTTGGCAGGGGATCTCGGAGCTGGCGGCCCGCAGAGGTGTAGTGTCCTTTCTGGCTCTCACCAGCCCCCCCCCCCCCCCAAACTCATGGGTGAAAAGTCTAACAAAACTCAAGGATTGCTTGCTAAATGTACCATAAAATGACAACTCTCGGTTAAAATTCGGGAGCGAATGGAAAACTGTGCTGCTGAGACTCAACCCTGACAGAGAGATTTACCCGCAGCCAAAACGAGTAACATCTCTTGTAAGCGACTTCTCGCAGCAAGATCCTACCTACGTACATCCTCTGTCAATCCTCAGTGTCGTCGTCACCGCGCTGAGGTACACCACGGCAGCAACTTTTCATATGCTGGCTAGGAAATAATGTCCGACAAAGTTATACCCCACGGCACACATGCAATCTCAAAGTCCGACGATCATAATTCGTACCGATTAGGAAAAAGTCCAAATGTCCGTATCCACTGGTCCAACTCGCCCGAGTGTTGGGACCAAACAGGTGAAGCCACGCCTGACGCATTTTGCCTCCCCATTCTGTCGTGCTAAGGGCATAGCTGAAACAACGTTAAAGGTGTCTAACGTACGATGAAAAAGAATGTACCTATTTGTGTGGCCACAAAAGTCCTGGACCTGCGGGCTGCTCCCCGCTGATCTCCGGAGAGCGCAGCCTTGTAGTGCGGGAAGCTCAATACACGTTTGTGAGGTTAAGCGGTCATGGGCAGGACGTGACGATTCCTTGGGTGAGCCCAGAACCAGAGCATCATTTGTCGGCTCTGCATTTATGGAAGCCTCCTTGGATGGCGGGGAATGCCCATGATCTGCCCCTGATACACGGTTGTGAGGTTAAGCGGTCATGGGCAGGACGTGACGATTCCTTGGGTGAGCCCAGAACCAGAGCATCATGTGTCGGCTCTGCATTTATGGAAGCCTCCTTGGATGGCGGGGAATGCCCATGATCTGCCCCTGCCTTCCCTTAAGGGCTGACAATTCTACCTAGGGCTGCCTTAAGATATTCCGGGGGTCCACACCTGTTAAAGGTCAAAGAGGACACCACACAAATGAGGCAGCATCTCGACCCACACAAAACAATGGCCACAGTCAACCAAGAAATAGGCTTGACGTCTTCCCTCGAAGTCGGAGTACATCTGCCGGAGAGGCTGGGAACGAGAACTGCAAACAAATAAGCCAGTAAAACGGATGTACACGCAAAACTCAGGTCAAGGTAAAAGCCAAAAGTCCATTTGGACGAACAACCGCGACTTACCGCCGGAATTCACAGCTGGTGAACAAGAAGAAGAAGAAGAAGAAGAAGAAGAACTGGTTTACCAGGGTAAGTACTCGTAGTACTCTCATCCTTGAGGTGTTCATCCTGCGGACTGCAATCCTTGAGTAGATAATCTAAAAACTACAACAAATGTACGAATGTTCACTGCTCACCCTTTCTAATTAGTTTCTCTGTGGGTTGGTTCTGAAATTTCTTTTTCATTGATCCGAACCCAGCTGCTGTAGCAATCTTGGCCACCTGGTCATCGGTTAGTGGAACTTCTAGGAAATTAGCTATTCTTCTTATACCGGCCTGAGTATCCTAGTTTAAAAAAAAAAAGGACTGTTAACAAAGTAATAGCTAGTGAAATATGATCAGTTCTAGTTATTACTAGTATTCGTCTTCGTCTTCTTCTTCGTCTTTTGCTTCTTCTTCTTCTTCTTCTTCTTCTTCTTCTTCTTCTTCTTCTTCTTCTTCTTCTTCTTCTTCTTCTTCTTCTTCTTCTTCTTCTTCTTCTTCATCTTCTTCTTCTTCTCCTTCTTCTTCTTCTTCTTCTTCTTCTTCTTCTTCTTCTTCTTCTTCTTCTTCTTCTTCTTCTTCTTCTTCTTCTTCTTCTTCTCTTCTTCTTCATCTTCTTCTTCTTCTTCTTCTTCTTCTTCTTCTTCTTCTTCTTCTTCTTCTTCTTCTTCTTCTTCTTCTTCTTCTTCTTCTTCTTCTTCTTCTTCTTCTTCTTCTTCTTCTTCTTCTTCTTCTTTATCTTTACTCACCCGACATGTCACATATCACTTCTGTCACGTGCCTGATGTAAGGATTTCTCCTTCAGAACCAGCAGCACTCAGAAATAATTATGTTGAGTCGTTTGGCTCGTATTGGTCTAAGGGATTCCACGTGGCCAAAATACGCTCAACTTATTTCTGGAGTAGGGCAACCCAAGTATTGGCACTAAAAAATATATCAGTATATGAATACAATATTCCTAGGCACACTTGGCTGGACACCCCCACTACTTACTAAAGAAAGCCCCCAGGTTATGATAAGTCATTATCATAACCATGTTAACACATATAGTTAAGATTCATACACACACAAATGCTAAACACTTAAAAAGGTGAAATAGAGAAACCTAAGTCAGCCATGAAAATGAATGCATGTAATCATTACAACATATACAAATAGAAAATAATGAAGTAGATGCCAGATCACAACTACTGGATTCCAGAATACAATGTCTAGATTGCAAGGACTCTTAAACAGCCAGAATGATCTAGAGATGACACAACTTCATCCTCGGGAAACATGGGAGCTGTGAGGTATATAGCACATAAGGCATCAAACTGAACTTATCCTATCTCCGTCTATGATGCTTCCCTCAGCTCCTGATGATTCGACTGTCTTTGGTGCCTCTGCCTCAACTGGATCAGATGGCGGAGGAGTACTTCACCATAAAGGACACAGTAGCTGGATAAGCACACAGCAAATGGCTCCCACTAGTCATTAGCAGCACTGTCCATGAGCTACATACATGTTCTGGCACTGTAGGAAGATTGGGGTATATGGCACCTCAAACTGACATCAATCTCCACACTTGGTAGTTGGGTGATAATGGGTAGGTAATGGGTTAATTGATTGATGGGTTATGGTTGGTGGGTGTTGGTTGGACTGTGAATCTTCTGCCAGCTCTTCACAAAGGGTTCATCCTGCCAAAAAATAACTCAGAATTAGTCATCACCAAGAGGGTAACATCTTGACAGGAAAGACAGAACAAGCATCAGTCATCATCCCACATCTGCTTACTCCACCTTTGCTCCCCTGTTTCATTCCTCAGAATGCCTCTCAAGACCAGGAGACACAAGTCTCCTATCATTCATCTGTCTGTTTAGTGCAAGAGATGGAAAGTCAGATATATAGTGGAGATAGATAGACACTCTAACACATATATCAATCTCACCCCCCCCCCCCCCATTTACCTCTGCACACAGACACCAATATTAACTGTCAGTACCTTTATTCCTTTCGAATCCCAAGCCAGTCCCACCATTCATTGATCTGGGTCAAACACACTCACACACTGGCTGACCAAGTTCTGACCTAATTCTGTCCCCATTTGTATGCACAAACTTCTTTAATTAGTACACACTTGTAAGGTTATTAGTTTTACCAGTATGTGTGGGTTATTTAGGGCATAGGCTATTTAGTCTGTGCAAAGGAAGGTCTAAGTTCGAATCCGCTTCTCTAGCGATCAAGAACGGTCGAACTATGTGTGATCCCACAGCCGATACTGATCTCTCTACAGCAGTGACCACTTTAACAGACATTGTTTTAGGTACTCGTAAACTATAATTAACTTACCCAAGCATAGGAAAAGTCTCCGACATTACAGATCGCCTTATGAAAGTGAAATTTCCTGGCGTCGATGCACACATCTGAACGCTTGGAAGCCGGCAAAAAAAATGGCGCAAAATGCCTTCTTCAGGCGTTGGTAAGAAGTAGTTCCTAGTATACAGGGGCAAGGAGTAAATCGGTTTCCACGAAACCTCAAATAACTCCTCTAATATTTATCCAATAGATGTACATTTAAAAGTTGTGTTAAGTCAAAGCAACTAGAAGATGTAGACATTATAATTTTGTCCGATAAAGGCATATATTGATATAAGGGACTATATACACCTTCCCGGACGAGTCCAAGTTTGAATGTTGTGCCGATTTACAGGTAAGTTAAGTTACCAGTCTTTAGGACTGGTGTGTAATGGCTTATCATTCCACGACACGACAATGCAATTGTGTTGTCACAGTTTACAACATGGCTGTGATATCTGCGCCTTTCGGCCGACACATGAAACTTATGTAGGCGTTAGTTTACCGGGTTAATATATTTAGTCTAAAATCTCCATCCAGGCGAGCTGACGGAAAGGAAACGCTGGCAGAGGGTGGAAACCCGCAATCCCCCCCCCCATTCCCCCCCCCCCCCATTCCACCTCATCCCCAGGGCCTTACAAGTATTTTAGAAAAAAAGTACAGGGCTCAAGCTACTTGGGAAAAAAGATTTAAAAAACAATTAAAGGATCCTTTTCCACGCCTTCAGGCCTATAGGGCAGATATGGCTAGACCTATATTTAATTGACCAATCGGCTCATAATGGGTGATGTGGTCAGAATCACGTCGGCCGCCTTTACTTCCCGGGACTGCACCCGGTACCCACTCAAGGCTAGGTCGACCTGGGAGCCAAGGTCATTTTTGAAAAAAAAAAAAAAAAAGTCTGGCTCCAGCAGGGAGCGAACCCACGACCTTCAGCTCCAGCGGCGAGCGTCTAGTCGCTCTGCCAGGGCGATTAAGCTCCTTAAAGGCCCCATAAAAGAAGTATGGCTGAGAGGTTGATTCTAAGAATATATTGACATTCTCTTCAAAATGGAGTTACACATATCACATTATTTCAAGTGTATCGTTTTATTTATCTGCCATTCAACCCTTATTAATATTATTTTCTATTATTATTATTTTTATTATTATTACTATGAAGATGATAATGACGGTGATGTTGATTAAGATGACGATGACGAGGTTGCTTTTGATGATGTGAATGCTAATGATGATGAGGAGGAGGATGACGATTATAATGATGATGCTTATTATGATGATGGTGATGGGAATGACGATGAGGATGAATGAAGATCGTATGAGGATACTGTAGATCTCAGATTCAGCTACAAACGATGATTTCCTACCTGCTTCATCTCTTCATATTTAACTACCAGAATGGGGTGGTCCGGGTGCTCGTTCATTGCCTTCTCCCAGGCTAAATGGTAGTCGAAGTAGTTGCCGTTGTCGACTGAGGAGATCACAAGACATTTGTCAATATATTCATGGATCCATCTATCCATCCATCCATCCATCCATCCATCCATCCATCCATCCATCCATCCATCCATCCATCCACCCATCCATCCATCCATCCATCCATCCATCCATCCATCCATCCATCCATCCATCCATCCATCCATCCATCCGTCCATCCATCCATCCGTCCATCTGTCCGTCCGTCCATCCATCCATCCATCCATCCATCCATCCATCCATCCATCCATCCATCCATCCATCCATCCATCCATCCATCCATCCATCCATCCATCCATCCATCTCGCATATCCATCCCTCCCGCCTCCACCACATCCCATTCATCCATCAATAAGTCTATCCACCCATTCAATACCTACCCATTTACATACATCCATCAATAAGTCTATCCACCAATTCAATACCTACCTATTTACATACATCCATCAATAAGTCTATCCACCAATTCAATACCTACCTATTTACATACATCCATCAATAAGTCTATCCACCAATTCAATACCTACCTATTTACATACCTACCTGCATACTTATCCTACTAATAAGCGCTGCTCTTCTATCCTGCGGTAGAGGTTTCCCAGATAAATCGCCAGACTTCTCTATCAGAATTTTTCTTTCTGGCCTTGTTCCGTTCCAGTCCCCTAACAGTTAGGGACTGTCGGATATTGTCTTCCCAGTGGACCTTTGGTCGTCCTGGAAGTCTGGTTCCCTGGTTCTTAGACTCCCATGCCTGTCATTGACGGACGGACATGGTGGCCGATTTTCTCCCATTCTGCATACATGTCGAAACCATCGTAATTGTGACTGATTCACTCCAGTTTGTAAAGCCTAGATTTCAAGATCTTGATATATTGTCTGATTGCGTACTTCGTCCTTTCTCCTCACTTGAACATCTTTTCTTAGATATCACATTTCTGAGGCCTGAAGCTCGTTTCTGTGAGCTGTTGTTATTGCCCATGACTCACACCCATAGGTCAGGACTGGTACATAGGTAGAGCGATAAACACCCATTTTTTACCTCTTGCCAATTTCTGTTTTGTTAAGAAACCTTGGGCTTATGACCTGGAAAAGTATATCAGCCGCTGCTTTTTGGGTTGCCAGCTGAGTCTTCATGCCTTTATTTCGGTCTAATGACTTGACTGACTTTCTTACCCCACCAGGACATCACAAAGCGATAAACGCCCGATGACACGATGTGCCACCATGTGGGTGAGGATCACCGTGGAGAGGTCTCAGAAACCGCGTTCAGACAATTGGCCATATTTATGGCCTGCCTATATTGCGGCCCCTGGCAAAAGCCATGGTGGGGTTTCAAATAACCAAAAATTTCGTCCTAAAAAGGACGTAACACCTAAATAACTAAGGATTTCGGTCTAATACAACTCCAATGTATTTGAACTCGTTGACCTGATCTAGTGCATATTGTCCAAGCCTGATAGGGTGTTTCTTCTCATCCCTTGAGATCACCATGGTTTTAGTTTTGGGAATACTGATGGTCATCCCTATCTTTTCAAGCTCTTCTTTCCAGATAAGTATGACTGAAGATGTGCTTCTGATTTAGCTATCAGGGCCGCATAATCTGAAAATGCCAGCTCTGATATACAGACTGGTCTCATCTTCCAGTACCCTACTGAGTACTTCTTTGTCTTCTCCTTACAGGTCTTGATGACATCATCTATCAAATGAATAAAGAAGTAAGGCGAGAGAATATTACCTTGACGAACACCGCTAGTGGTCTTACATTCTTCTGACTGTTTGTCTGCTGTTCTTACATAATTTCTGCAGCTTTTCTAGAAACTGTGTTGCACTGCCCATGGTGTTGGAATTCTGGAATGTGTTTCTCACCAAGCAGTCCTAAATGACTTGTCTAGGTCCAAAAAACATAGGTGCGTCTCACTCTTATATTCCAGGGTCTTTTCACTCAGCTGTCAGTGTGAAAGTAAGGTCCTCAATACTTCGAAGTGCTCTGAAGCCGCTTTGGGCCTGATCCAGTTGTGGTTCTGCCTGATCTCTAAGTCTCTGTACGAGCATTCTAGAGTAACTTTTACCAGGAACACTGTGGAAGATATGCCTCTGTGGCTTTCACATTTTCTCTTACCTCTGGCCTCTGTTATGAGTGTGATATATTTTTACATTTTTCTATTTCTTTAGCTGTGTTCCTGGCTACCAGATATTTCTTCTATGCCTTTTTTTTTTCTCCTATTTTCACTTTGACTTATTCCGTCCACAAAGGTCTTCTATGTCCATTCCTTCCACTTGGGACTTCCTACAAGTTTCAATTGCAGCTGCTGTGAGGATATTCTTGAATTTGTACCAGACGGTTTCGGTGTCCTCAGACGGTTCTTCTTCAATTCCAATTGCTTGCACTATTAAGCTCTTGGCATCTGTGACTCTCTAAGCTTGTATGCCTTAATCTTTGTCCCCTCTGTGCTGCTTTGGTTTCTTGCATGGTTTTCGGTGTTGCCTGGTTGGGGCAGTTCTTTCAGATTTCTCTTTATTATGATCAGATAGTGGTAACTTCCAGTCTCCAGTCTCTGCTTCCCTCATGACTCTGGCGTCTCTCACAAACTTGAATGAACCTTACTATGGCATAGTCGACGATGGATTTTTTGAAGGTTCTCATTTTGTGTGTGCATATATACGTTTGTGAGGAAAGTTTGTGCTTGTAACGACAAGGTTCTATTCCCTGCAGAATGTGAGAAGTGGCTTGCCATTGTAATTCAAAACATCTTCAGCATATCTCCCGATCACTCCATTGAATCTAGAGTGATCACTTCCTACTCCAGCATTTAGATTTTCGAAGGATAATTTCATTGTGACAATCATCTATAGTCTTTTGGAGCAGTTCGCATAATTCTTCCTTGACATCTACTCAATCTTTTTCATTTGGTCCGTACACAATGACAATATTAACGATTTTATCTTCATCTTTCAGATCTAGCACAATAATTCGCTCCGAGATTAACTTTTCACCCCTTGATGTTACTAACTTGATTCCTCTTCACAATGCAGCCAACTCCTCCTGTCGTGAAGTGAGCAGCCAACCCTACACGATGGACGAGTCGTGATACTGACCTCCCTTAGCGGGCAGTCACATTTCAAACTTAAACCCGTCCTGAGGGGTATATAGTCCCTTATATTGATATATACCTTTATCTGGTGAAATATTCATTTCAAGACCATCTAGTTGCTTTGAGATATCTTCATTTTCAAACTTGCAACTGTAGGCTGAAGATTTCTGGTGGTTAATTCAGAAATTCCTGTAAACCGGTTTACTCCTTAGGCATGAATACAGGGGACTTCTTTCCTAGAGACGCTAAGTTTAGGTTTGAGCGGCATTCTCTCGCCTGATTCCTAAGTGTCAAGACGTGTATACAGTCTATGTAGAAAATTGGCGCATTCAAAGTATCAGTTCTATATTGGAAAAATTCCTAAGCTTGGGTAAGTTGATTATAGTTTACGAGTACCATAATATATGTCTTTTTGAAGTTAGCCACTGCTGTAGAGAGTGAAGATTCAGCTGTGTGATCGCACAGAGTTGGGCCGTTCTTGATGTCTAGAGATCAGGCTCCGAACATTAAACCTTTCCCTGTGCAGACTAAATAGTTTGTGCTTTACATAACCCACACATTTGTAAATATATTAAACCCTTCAAGTAATTATTCTCTGACTAGATAAACGAAGTTTTGTGCCTCCTAGCAGAAATATGGAATCTGAGTCATCTTTTAACAGTTAACTGCTGTGACGTCAGAGCTCGACGCTCTGAGTCAAAGGTGTGTTTAGCACGGAAATATCAGGTGTGTAGTAGCAGCCTGTGGAGACGTGATATATGTATAGGTACTAATGGGGTACATTGTATGACTGCGAGTGCAGATATGAAGGTGGAGAGATGATGATCTATGTGTGGTAGTGTCTATCTATCTCCACTATATACCTTGTTTCCTATCTGCTGCACTAATTTACATTAGGATAAATGAAAAGAGACATTGTCTCCTGTTCTTGAGAGTTACACTCTGAGGAATGGAGAAGGGTAGCAGAGGTGGGGTGAGCTGGTGTGTGAATAGGGTTGATTACTAATTCTGAGTTCTTTCCTGACAGGATGATACCTCCTTAGAGATCAGGCAGACGAATCACAGTCCAGCCAACAACCACCAACCCATACCATTCTGGGCACCAAGCATACCCAAAAGTCCTGCCCATTGTGCCACTACCTCAACATGGCAAGAGCTTGTTTGTGAGTTCCAGGACTAGTGGACAATTGTAGACACCTATGTCATCAATCCAGAGAACCAGTCTCCAAGAGCTTTGTTGCTGGGATAAGTGATCTCTTATTCATTTTCATGCTCTCTTCCCACAGCACCTTGTGATTTCGATGATGAACTCATGTAGCCTCAAAGAACTGTATCTGGCTGCTTCAATTCTGAGTTGTGTCATTAATTCCTTAACTCCATTAACTGATCACTCTTGATTATCAATTCATTTTGTTTTGTATTTATACTGTACTTATTACATGCAGAAATTGCCATGGCTGACTTGGGTGTCCCTGTTTCACCATTCTAACTGTTCAGCTTTTATGTTTGTGTGAGTAATAAGTGTAATCTATGTTAACATGGCTATGATAGTATACTATCATAACCTAGGGGCTACCTTTTTATAGTAGTGGGGGTGTCCAGCCAAGTGTGCCTAGGAATATTATATATTTTGTAGTGCCAAACTTGAGCTGCCCTACTCCTGAAATAAGTTGAGCGTATATTGGCCACGGGATATCCCTTAGACCAATACGAGCCAACGACTCAACATAATTATTTCAGAGTGCTGTTGGTTCTCAAGGAGAAATCCTTAAATCAGGCACGTGACAGGAGCGATATGTGACACCTCCCTTGGCTCTTTAATTTGTAGGGATACAACTGTAGAGCAGCATGCTTCCATTGTGACCTGTGATTCCCTTCCCGTTTTCTTGGTTTCAGTCAGAGTCAATATCCCGAATTTTGCTTTCCTGATCTCCCCTTTTACTTCGTTTTCCTTCCCATTAATGCCTCGTGTGTTCCATATTCATGAAATCGTGGTCCATAAGCCATGCCAGTTCGTCGCCGTTAAAATCCGTTCGGTTTTGTAATCGTAGTTTATGGAAAACAGGCGATGGAGAAAGCAAAGGTTTCGGCTATGTTCGTTTTTTCAAGCCATTGCATGCTGCTTTGGCATATGAAAATTGTGACACATCATTTAGACCCAAGTTTGCAGAGCCACAGCGCTCTAGAGATGAAAGAGATTAAATTGAGAATCATGGATTCACTTTCCCAGGCCCCGCACCAGGAGCTGGTCAGAAGCGATTGTACGAAGATGATCTGCATTCTGGTTACTATGCCCCAGAAGCTGCATTTCCAGGTAAAGGCCTTCCACAGCAGTTTGCTGGGGCTGGACCTATGGAGATGTTGGCTGAATATCCAGCAGTGAGCAATTGTTCCCGTCTTTACATTCAAGCTCCTATTGGATTAACACAGGGCTACCTTGCTAGGCTCTTCAACCTTGTTTATGGAATGGAATACTGTGACGTGAATGAAACAACAGGTATTGCTTATGCTAGATACTCTAGTCCTCAGTGTGCTGCCTATGCCAGAGACAAGCTGAACGGGTTTGAGTACCCTCTGGGGAGTGCTTTGCATGTGCAGTTGGCAGATGATTGTCCAGTGCATATGGAGACAAGTGGATATGGGCCATATGCTGGTAATTTTGGTGGGGGCTATGCTAATCCGCCCGTCTCCCCCATGGAGAATATGGATATCAGACAGAAGGCAGCTATGATACTGGAAAAAGCTGGCATCAATCCACAAAACCTTCTGAACCTAGCTGGGGCTGGTGCAGTTGGTTCAGTTGGAGATGGTCGCAGAGAGCGTGTGGCATACTCCAGCATTCCTCTTCCACCACCACAGCCCACGGTACCTGAGGATGGAAGAAACATGGCACAAAGGCTGTTCATTGTTTGCCAGCCTTCTGGGGTATCTGAACGAGTACTCAAGGATGCATTCTGCAGATTTGGAAACTTGATTTATGTTTATCTCTTGTCAGGTCGTAATTATGGCTATGCGAAGTATGCCTCAAAGGATTGTGCAATGAGGGCCATTGAGACCCTTCATGGGCAAACATTGGCCGGGCAGAAAATGAAAGTTCTGGAAGCAGAGCCACCAAAAGCACACCCTGTTCATGGAATGCAAGGCGATGAGGGCCCATCCAAGAAGCAGAGGCTTTAGAGATGTGAGGTGACAAACACAGCAGACATAAATAACTGAACTGTTTGAACAGACCAAAGGGGACAGAACAAAGACCTGCCTTTGGACTGCTGTATATGACAAAACATAACTAGCCGCTCAGTAACTTGATTTTTCTTGAAGATATGTTTTTTTAAATATAAACATTTGCATTCTTCACCATATTGCTGTGGAAACATAAGTGATCTTTGCTGACAGTATGCATTTCTTTTTTCCTTTTTATAAGTGATTAGTGATTACTGCAGTCTGTTGTACTGACATCACACTAGAAGTAGTTCAATTTCTGTCATACTTGGATTCTGTTTTGCATGATACTTTTGGAGTATACATCATAAAAATTCTGTATGTAATTCTTATCCAAGTATATGTGCTTGCTTTTTAACTGGTGGTTAAAGATAAGTGCTCATTCTCTCCTTTTCTCTATTTTGCCTTTATGTTGTAATATTTTGTCATTTATCAGATTGGAGATTAGATTGAAAAAAAAAAAATAAGAGGACAATAAAATTAAAATCCACCTTTTAACTGAGTGTCACCTTCGTTAACCAGTGTTAATTTGTTTTGATATTGTGGAGAATTTTGAAGTTTTCAAATTGTAGTTAAGTTTAATAAAGAAGTGTGGGTAATAGTCACACACACACACAAAAAAAGATTGGCCTGTTGTGCATTTGCATGGTGGAGAAGCTCCATCCTTGCGGCATACTAATCTACCTACCTATTTACCTATCCGTCTGTCCGCCAGTCCGTCCGTCTGTCTGTCTCTCTGTCCGTTCGCTTGTCCATCTGTCTGTCCATTCACTCGTTCGTCCATCCGTCTGTCAGTCTAAATGTCTGTATATCGATAATTCTGTCTACGCGCTTTATAATGAACAATGGCAATTACCTTATTCGGGGAACGCCTTATAAGGTCGTTATTTACCACTGAAACTTGCAATAAGATATAGCCAACCCAAATTTAAACCCATTCTTGGGTTATCTCTTCTTGCGACATACTAGGCGGGATGGGGTGTTATATTTCTCTGCTTCCACTAAGGACTTTTGTGACACACATTTGACTCGATGGATGAAATATCATACCAACTGCCGGTGCTTTCTTAATGTCCTACCCCAAACAGGGGAAATCCACAGGGGGTGGTAGATAGGGTGCATGCAGTCGTGGGACCTAGGTTGTATGCAGTCGTGAAACCTTGGCTGCACTCTCTTGTGGGGCGTAGGTGGGTTGAGGTTAGGGCCAGTTCTGAATGTTCTGTGGTCGTTAAAAGCATCAGAAAGCCGGAAAACCCAGTCTTACCACCCTCTAAAATGTTGGAATGTCCTGTGACGTCATCTGGGTAGGATATTACGAAAGAACCCCAACTGCCTTTACTTCCTGGAAAAATGTCCTCGTTTCCCTTCTTGTCTGCGTCGCCCTATAAGGCATAATCATTTGTTTAAAATATCCCAGGGTATAACATCGTTTATTAAAACTTTATTAATGCTATCATGATTATTATTATTCATTCACAAAGGGCATTATGTGATTTTTATTATGGTTTACAGCTAGACTGCCATACAGGAGCCCTTTTTTTTTTTTTTTTTTTTTTTAGCATTCACATCAAATTTCAGTAAACCCTTAATTAGTCGCCCTGAAAGAAATGCTTGTTGGGGGGCAGTGAATCAATCCTCCCACCTCCTCCCGACTCCCCAATGGGGCCCCAAAACATATACGGGGAAGACCATTTTGATTTCCTGTAATGTGTTTACCTGTGCCGTTGAGGAAGAACTGAAACCAGTCTGAGAATTCGCCCTCGTAGTTGTAGACTTCTTTCAAGTTGATGTGGTGGTTGTAGAGGGAAACGGCTGTGTCCTTGGGGTTTCGGGTTGTCAGCACAATCTTCGTTTTCATTGCTTTAGCCTGTTGTCATAGATGATGGAAAAGGGCCGTGATTAGCTGAAAACTTGTGCTAGATTATGGATGCCACTGTAGGCGGTGGGATAAACCGCCCATTATGGCCACTTCTACCAGAGAATGTAGAATGTTGAATTAGGAATCGAGATCATAGCACGCATGACGCTCCCATAAGCGCTCATTCCCCTTCTACATCAGCAACCGACGAGTTCCAATTCCAATGGTACCAGTAACTGTCTGATTGTACATCCCTCTCACCTTTCCCTTCAGTTTTGAGCGTAATAAGCTATTTGCGCCTCCACGCTGTTTAATCGCTCCCAAAGGAACTTACCAAATCTAGCCTATCACACATCAAATCACCATCAACTGGTGCAGAACTGACCAGTCTATTTGCTTGCTAATTTCCCACGCTAGCGTGACCTAGATAAAATATCCGAAGGACGCTAACTACATGAGACCTCTGAAGCGATGCTTGCCACTCTGCACGGAGCATGCCTGTCTCTCAGAGAAATAAAATGAACCCAGTGTGAGTATTCTGCAAAGAAATGTCATGCTTGTGCACAAATCGTTGAACGTCAATGGCATTAGAGTTATATCGACCGGTCGGGGATTGTATGAGCTACATGTGCTACCAGACAGTCATCCGGCTACTGTAAGACCAAGAGAGAAGATGCTGAACAGTTTGACATTATGGCATGGATGATCATCAGTGTGAGAGTACACGACACAGAGAGTTGTAGATATACATGACTACCAATTCCACATGGTTTGGACTAAAAGAAGACCAAGATACGATAAAAGTATAAACAACTCAGTTTTTGTTTTCATAGTTTTAGCCTGTCGGGATAGGGTAAATTACGACGAAGAAAAAACCCGCATTTAAAGCTTTAGAGTGCAAAAAAAGGAAAAACAGGGTTCTAATACTCGGTAAGGTTGGAATTTTTTTGTCGAAGGCAGAAATAAAATCATAATCTGCACAGACCGTGGCGACCACACTGGTTATGAGACCTTAAAACATCAGCCTCAAAGAACCCCTAACCTACATCGCGAAAGGGGTAAAATACAGAGAGTAATGGCAGGTTTAGGAGTGTAAGAATTTAATAAAGTAGGAACAGTACAATCTTCGTGTTTTAAGCTTTAGTACCATCAGTATAGAGGTCATGGCAAATAACAGAGAGACAAAAACAACAAACACACACATACAAATACACACATACACAGAAGAGTTGAATGGGAGTAGACTATGGTTGCGATTTCCATTGTACCGAGCCAAAAGAGTTTACAACTCATAGTTAGTTAGCTAGTTTAGTTAGTTAGTTAGTTAGTTAGTTAGTTAGTTAGTTAATCAGTTAGTTAGTTAGTCAGTCAGTCAGTCGATCAGTCAGTCAGTAACTCAGTCAGTCAATCACTTGGGTTATCATCATTGCTTTCCGGACTTTGGTCCATTGGTGCTGAGATCCTCCCCCTCAGTATGAACCTCAGCGTCTGGTGGCTTATAGTACAGTCACGTGAGCTCAGACTCTCCCCAGAATGTTTTCGGGATCCAATGGGGAAAATGTACCCAATAAAAACAACTCATGGTTTCTGGATGACTAAACAACCAATTTATAAATATATTTGACTTATTAAAACAAATCAAAACTAAAAAGACCAGATTAGGGATTTACTCAGTATAACAGAAGGAACTGATGAGATGGTAACCCCGGACATCCTAGAGTCAGAAAGATAGTGTAAGTATGATGAGTGCATAGATGTGAACATGGACACATACACAAGGATGAGTGCGTGTAGTATGAGTGCATTTGTGTATAGGATGGATACATAAGACACAGTGTATGTAGGCGGATGGTACGGAATCACGTGTGGACGGAACAGTGGGAATATAGTTGTGCGAAAGGTACAGATGAATGAGTACATGGATTTAAATGTTACTGTATGCATGTATATGTGGGTATGAGTGTGCATGTGTGTATATATATGAGAGCGTGTATATTTATATATTTGTGAGTGTATGAATGACAGTGCAATCAAAGAAACCATAAACTGTGTTGCTGTATGTCTGTTCATTAATGAGAACGAATGGAATGAAGGGTGTAAGCAGCAAGAACGTCATCGCACACCATCCACCAAAACATGATACGTCAGTACCGGACAGGTCACATACCAGTAACGGGACATAGCTTAAAAGTGACACGACCAGACGAAATTACAGACAAAGCGACACAACATGCATAAGACATGGAAGAGTGAATATCACTACGTGTGGATGTACTCGTTTTTTTAATGAATGTAAGTACAGGCATTGGTAAACGCATATGAAAGAGTTTGCGTGTGTACGTAATGTCAATTAGGTATGCATATACGGATAAGTATGAAAGGACGTACAAATATGTAGTGTTGTCTGCATGTATGAGTACTCGAGTGCATGTACGCATACACCTAGTTGGGTGCGTCCATATACTCCGGGGATTCATAAACAAAACCATCCCACTCCACAGCATGCATACAACATGCACATGACCGACAGGACTCATAACAAAAATATGACTGACAGCAAATAGGGAATACAAGTGACTCGATAATGACAGGACTAGAACGCATAACCTCCAATACCACCCCCATCACTGGGATGATAGCAAAGGTTGGTAACGTGATACACATAGTCCCGGCAAAAAGCCACACTAGAATCCAGCAAGACGGCAACGACGAGAATTGCCTGAATGGCCTCCCGCTCCCCTTCCCCCCCTCCCCCCACCTTTCCCTAAATCTTTCGGATGCACTATGAGCTGAACCCCCCAACCCATTCCCACAGAGAGCACTTGAGTTCGTTGCCCAACATGCCACAACAATTCTCATCGCCGATCATTTGGATCTCAAAGCGTGAGCTGGAAGATCCGGTTATATGGTATTTACGTTCACCGGAGCTTAGCTATCAACACAACCCGATCACATAATAACAAATGACGACTGGACCCGCTTAAGACTCCACACAAACTCTCACACACATATCCAATACATGACTAACCCGTTCATATTACAGGAAGACAACTATAAGACCACTATGGTCACACGCGAAAAATTTTCACATTTCGGAACTATTCACATTCAAAAACTGTTTTCAGTACTTTTTGGCAAAATTAAAATACTCAAAATTTTAAAACAATAAATGGTGGCCGAAAGGTCGTTGTGTTCGGAAGCTCGCTCTCCTTCGAGATACGCCTAGCCAGATCAAAGGGAGACAGGACAAACAGGAAACACCAAGAATGAAGAATGAAGACATGCACCAGTGACAACAGGACGAGCGGTTTGATACGGAGGGAAGCATTAAGCCAGAAATGGCACAAACACCAGTATTCAGTCACGAAAGTGACGCAAATAACCCAGACCACAAATATAGGCGGAGACTGTTAGCAGCCTAGGCTAGCTAGCAGCAGTCTGAACGTGGTCGAGCTTTTCTTTTTTTTTTTTCTTAAAAGGACTTGGACTTGGACTATATTTGACTGCTTCATGTACACGCCTACCTGATCTGGCAACTCCTCGTACTCGTTGTGTGTGTTGAGAATTCTGGGAGATGGCAGGGCATCGTAGAGTTCAGGGGCTGCCATTTCCAGGAAAGCTATAACTTTGAGGTAGTTGGTGTGCTCGGCTCTTCTCTTCACAATCATGTTGACGGTCTCCCAGATCCAATGGCACCCTGGTGAGTACAAGATATATCAGATACATTAGTTGTTTAACTGCAATAGTAGCAGCAGCAGCAGTAGCAGTAGTAGTAGTATGGAAAGATATAAAACCGAAGGAAAAGTATATCAGCGAGCTTCACAATATAACAAACACAAAAAATGCGTGAATGTTGCGGAGCCTTTTTTCAGCACATACATAGATAAGAAAACACTACGCAAATACACAATATCACTTATCTTCGTATCTCGTGACAGCCAGGTCGATGTGACAAAAGTAGTAGTAGTAGTAGTAGTAGTAGTAGTAGTAGTAGTAGTAGTAGTAGTAGTAGTAGTAGTAGTAGTAGTAGTAGTCGTAGTAGTAGTCGTAATAGTAGTAGTAGTAGAAGTAGTAGTAGTAGTGGTGGTGGTGGTAGCAGTAGCAGTAGTAGTTCTTCTTCTTCTTTATCTTCTTCCTCTGCTTCACGACAGCTTTCCGCTGACTTGAGAGCCAGCTGCACATACGTGTTGTGACTATAACAGACTCACAAAGCATGCTGAAACATATGGAGAAAGGTATCGCTTCAGAGGTTTCTAGCGTAATTTACGGGCTGGATCGAATGGTGCAATGCGAAGTGACCAGGGTATCTGACCGATGCTCAACACACAGAGGAAAGGGGAGACGAAAATACAATCAGAATGCTACTGGTACCATTGAAACTGAAACTATGTGCTAGCTGTTGAAGATGGGAACGACGCATTTATGGCGGGCATGATGTCCATTTTTAACTTAACTCAACTCAAATTTCTGGAGTGTGATCTTCAAGGTGTGACCAAACCACAATTATAATTGTTTTATATTCTCTGATTTCCACTACCTCCCTCCGCCCCCCCCCCCCCCCCCTGCTAATCGATAAGCGTTGATTTATTTCTCATGTCACTTTAATCGCCTTTAAGATCTTTTTAACAAATTTATGAGTGTGCATATGTGTGAGTGTGCTCACTTGTGTGCATCTGCAGTAGTGTCTCACCAGCGTGTGTATTTGAGAGAGAGAGAGAGAGAGAGAGAGAGAGAGAGAGAGAGACAGACAGAAAGACAGAGAGAGAGAGAGAGAGAGTTCCGGTAGATGTGGTTCACTACTATGTGTCATTACGTGACATGTCAAACCCCTGACCCAGAATAAAATGTCAGAAAGCACAGTAAGCGAATGGGACTTTGGGACATAAATGTCACTTTATCAACATGTTATTGTGACATGCTAGTGTCATAATACTTTGGTATAATTAGAACACTCGGGTGAATATCTATAACGTAAGGGTCATAACTAGTGCAGCCGCTGTGGTAAATGGTTAGTACACAAGTCTGAAGAGATAATGGCCAGGATTCGATGCCTGGCACCAAGCTTTTCTTCTTGGACCTTTCTTTAAGAAAACTTTATATCAAAAGGTCAGTAGCCTTGATAAAAGCTATCGTGCATCCCAAATCTACAGTGTACCATACAGCTTTGTTCTGATTAAAGTTGGAACAGGCCAGATGGGCTATTAGCAGCATAGCAGTCTATGACAACTACAGCAGTTTTCATGAAACTATTCATTTATTCAAAGTCTTGTTGTGACATTATATGTCACATAGGGCTCGCAGTCTATTCCTCCATTCCGTTCTATCATGTACAATAAGTTCGATATTACGAACAGCTTTGGCCTCTCTCATAAACGTTACTTCTGGGGTTTCTTTTGGACGTCCCCGCCTCCTTAATCCCCTTATTTTCCGATCTTAATGCCTGCTTGATGATTCTCTGCTGGCTTTTCCCCAGGATGTGTCCAGTACAGGGACCTTTTCTGTCATATAAACGTTGATACTAGTGGTTGTCCAGATATTTCTCATATTTCTTCACTTCTTTTGAATTCATCCCATTTTATTTTCATCAGCTTTCTTAGGCATTTGTTTTTGAGTGCTTTTAACTTCCGTTCCATGTCTCTAGAAAAAGTTCACGGGGGTCTTAAACAATCTGTGACTAATTATGTAACAGGGTAGGGTAGCATTTCTCTTCCATGATCGCAGCTTGTGTGATTAACATCTCAAAAATGAGAATCAAACAGGTACACGTGATATCCAACATAATAAGTCAGCATTTGACGACGTTAGTTGAACAATTTGATAATTATTTTCCTGAAACCGAAGATCCTCGTAAAGGCTACCTTTTGATTAAAATCCCTTTTTGGGAGTTATAAAGTCAGGCGGACTTGATTATCATGAACAAGAAAAGCGGATCGAGTTGTCCTCTGGTGTCATTCTTGTGGAGGCAGTCTCTGCTGCTTACCGCTAGCCTAAGAGTTAGCTGTACACACATGCCGAGATTGTAACTGACTCACAGAGCATAGTGAGAGAGGCGAAAACAGGCATGCTTCGTACAAAGTGGCAAGCATCACTTCAGAGGTCTCTGGTAAGGTCATATCCTTTGGATATTTTCTCCAGGTGATGCCACTGTGTTGGGAAATGAGCAGGCAGATAGATTGGCTGGTTCTGAAACACTTGGTGGTGAATTGATGTATGACAAGTTAGATATTGTGAGGGCTTTTTGGGAGCGAGTAAACAGTGCGGAGGCGCAGACAGATCATTACGGTCTTGGGGATCGGGCCGACGCTCAATGCTCAGGGTAAGGATGAGACAGATATACAATCAGACGGTTACTGGTATCATCGGAATTGGAATTCTTCGCTTGCTGCTGAAGATGAGGACTGAACATTTGTGGGAGTGTCCTCAGTGCTGTGGTGTTGATTCTTAATTCAACATTTAACATTTGTCAGTCTTGTGTCAAGATATAAAACGCGGTCATTGTCTAAGTTTTAAATATCACTCAAAAAGGAATATTCATCTCTGAGTTATAGAGCTAACAGATTGTTGTTCGTGTTTTCGACTTCCTTTTGGTGAAAAGACTTTCTCAGAATGTCAGTAATTAAAACAAAAACAAAGACGCCTAATACATATTATTGCAGCGCTTCTACTGTCAGAATTACCACTCCAGCCACGTTTATCATGTTTTTCAACCTCTAGGTAGATTTAAATTTTCCATTCGCTGAAATTGTAATTTTGTGACATTAGATTTAACAAATAAACTGCGACCAACATTCGTTTTTGTTTCCATGTTTGTGTTAGCTGTCAGATGGGCCGCCTGAAAGTTTTCTCCGTTTTTTTTTTTTTTTGTGGGCTGCGAGTGTAAACATGTTGAGAAACACTGGGCTAGGGGACCTACAAATTGGTGTTTGTAATTTTTTTTTTTTTTTTTTAAGTGAAAAAACTTTTTTACATCCGTGATATCAGACATATGATAATATGATACTATACTCATTATTTATACAGAACAATCAGCACACGTTGGGTATGTGGTCAACCTATTACCGGTCGCCATTATTGCCTAAACGATTGCCTGGTAAACATTTTAGAGGATGGGTCGACCTGGGCCCATGGCAATTTTAGGAAGAAATGGGGGTGGGGGGTTGATGCGAATTTGAATCCTAGACAAATCTAAATGGTGGTAGCCCCATCGTTTATTTATAATTCAGGGCTGCTGTCACAGAAAGGGATGGGGTGGCGCTAGGGAAAACAACAATACACAAAAATAAGAACCAGGGACGGCTAATGTGGTCTCCTAGTCGACAGGCGAGCCACGAGTAGCTCTACGGCCTAAAACGTTGTCAGTCACTGATCTGGATACACAAAACAAAATAAAAATAAATAAATAAATAAAATTATCCAAAAGAAAAAAATGGCATACCCGTTTTCGCGTATCCACAGACCAAAATGTCATCCGGCCTCATCTGAACATGCTTAACGTTGCCCAAGTTCTCTGGGCCGTGTGGGGTGTAGTACTTTCCGTTGAGTAAGGTCAAGTTGATTCCATTTCCTTTGGAATCTTTAACTCCCGCAGAGTCGATAAACCCAACGTTTCTTTTGGTTAGTGTCTGCAAATATGACCATACAGTGGGACACTGGTTTCTGCTCTGTTGTCTCGGCTACCACTATAACAACTTTTGTATGTATGTATGTATGTAAGTTGTATCCCACTAAGACATCACACAAAGCGATAAACACCCGGTGACACCAACTGTCGCCCGTGGATCACCCGTGGAGAGGTCCCAGAAACCCCGTTCAGTCGTTAGGCCATATTTATGACCCGGCTATATTCAGGGCCCCTTGCAAAAGCCAGAGTGGGGTTTCAAATAACGAAAAATTGCATTCCACATAAGGACGACTATATATATAAAACCACTTTAAATGGTCTCGAACCCACTTCGATATAAATAACAATTACTGCTACAGATGGGGACAGGGCACAACAGACTTTGTCAACATACGTTAAAACTTGTTGGTAAAAGAAACACGTAGACGTATCACTGTAGTGTGGCACCCGAAAATGCTGAGCATGTGCTCCAACACTGTCGACCGTATGCTGCCTGCAGAGGCGCAATCTGGCCTGTTTCAACCACAATGAAGACAGAAGTGTATGGTATAGGAGGGGATATGGGCTGTACGATAGCTTTCACAAAAGCTACCGGCCTCCTGATTTAGGGTTTATGACAGAAGGATCGAAGTAGAAAAAGAAGAAGAAGAAGAAGATGATGATGAAGAAGACTCCTACATCTGCTGCTGCTGAAGCTGCTACTACTACCACTACCACACTACCAACGCTACTATAAACACCAATATCACTACTACCACTACTACTAGAGCCCACCACCACCCACACACTTTGCCCACCCAAGCATTTTGCCGCTCTAGAAGTATTACTGCGTGTATCTCCAACATGTTCAGTCTTTCTCGTTGCATGTACACATTCAGTCAGCTATAAACATATCGCTTAATTTTCTTTATTCTTCTATTAGTATTGATAGCTGCCTCTTGATCACTTGCATTAAATGCTTCCCTCCTGTGTGTGTGTGGTTTTTTTTTTTTTTTTAGTGCTATGTCCATGGGATTTTTTTTTTTCGGGGTGGGGGGGGGGGGGGGGGGGGTGGTCCTAACGGTACACAGTACCGGTACCTTTTTCAATAGCTCAGTATTTTAAGTGCTATTTGTATTAGACACTTTCTGGAGAGTGCCGGCACTTTTTATTTTATTTTAAAGAAAACAGCACTGTTGTGTCTTTTAATATTTAAATAACTTGTCACTTGTTTATTTACTTCAGCAATTTATTTCTGAAACTTGGTATTTGATAGGTTTTATTTCCATGAAAAACGACACATTCTTCTAAAAAAATCCACATCTCCAGAGACGCAGTAACAACATTGTCAACTATCATGTCCTCTAAAAAAACTTGGCTCCCGTCACGCCACCCATGAAACTCTCCTTCTATGGCCAGTGTTCCAGACCTGTGTGCTTTCATACTCAGTACATCTTTAGTGTCTTGTATCCTCGTTCGGTGAGGTCTGCCTCAACTTCATTTTGCAAAAATTATATCCTCCATTATTGTTTTATCAAGGCCACCATGACTTTGTTTCTTATTCATTTAGTCCATATCCGTTGGCGTTGGTATTCGTGTCAATCCACAGCCTTCTGTCCCGTGTACTTTGAATCCTTTCTAACTCAGGTGATTTTCCATGCCATCATGTCAAACTGTGCAGCATCTATTCCCTCGGTTCTCCTCTGCCCTGCTTAGCATTGCCAAAATATCTAACCTTTCTGGAAAGAATGCCGATTAAGAGGCAATTTTCCTCGGTGCTTACATCTTATTGGATGTCTGAGGTTTTCTTTCTTTCTCTCTTTCTTTCTTTTTTTTTCTCTTTCTTTCAAGAGAAACTATACTATTGTTTATTTTCTTGTTCATTGTCCAGATCTCGGCACAGCAGGGATGATCTTCTTTGGCATGTTCACCGGCTGTAAACACCAGCGGAAAGAACTGGTTAGTCGTCCATCACTGAAGTTTAGTATTGTTCCATAACGAGAGAGGTGCATGCACATCCGTTTTACAGATTTGACTGTTCTGTATGCAGACAGTTGTTTCGTTGCCCTCCATGCAGATGCGCTCTGAATTCATAGGAAGCCCCCAATCAGTGGACTCTTACGATATGTTTGTTGGGCAGGTGGTGGGTTTTTTCTTGTTTCTCCACCCCGTTCCACGCAAAGAGCCCCAGAACTCACACGGGAACCCAGGGATGATTATACAACTCCTTTAACACTTCTCATTGTTAATGTGCAGTTTATATGTCTAGAGTAGATATTGGTAATTTCCGCATGTTGACAGGAAAACAAAGCATCTAAAAATCACTATAACATAAATTGTCCTCACTTACAGCTAAAGGTCCCAGTTTGTGTGAATCTTCCATCTTGTAGTAGTCCTTGCAGTAGTCAGTGTCAGCCACGCACTGTTCTCTTTACTGAGCCAGTCTTCGTTTTTATTAATACCAACCCAAATTACAATTGTTAAAATGTAGGCATGGGAGCGTGAGAAAAAGAAGAAGGAAAAAGAGGCTGGGGAAGGATAAAATGCGACTTAAATGCCAACTGGCAAATCTCCCCTGTTTTAGACACAGTTCAGTGTTTGGACTGAACATATATGTTGGAATAGTCTGTAGCAGCTTGTTCCCACGGATGTCGGAATAGTGAGTTATTTAATTATTGTTATTATCGCCAATTTTCAATTATTCTGGCCTTCGCCTAAAGCGTCTCTTCATCATCATCATCATCATTATCATCGTCGTCGTCAGGCTGTATTTAGACATGTGCAATGTATGCAAAAAGTGATGATAGATAATAAAGCTGTCATATTTTTATTTCTTATATCATCACGACCCCCGTTATGGCATTACAATAATTTGGCATTGGCGATGCTGAAGTTTAGCTGGGGGAAGAGCGGTGAAACAGAATGAATGCACAAGGACATCACACAACCTAGACACGACCCTGATCGTCCTTATCATTACCACCACCGCCGCCATCATAATTTAGTCCGTTCACGCCGTTTATTTCACATGCTCACACTTTTGGATGTATTGTGCACATACTGAACTCCATCGTCATATTCATCGCGTAGCAGGTCCTTTGCAAAACGTCGCTTTAATCACAGATTCCACTAAAGAAACTCAGTCTATCGCCAGTTCTCCCGCATCGTGCAGTTTTTTTTTTTTTTTTACCTAAGGTGTCACTTATATTCTGTGCTTATCTTTGTGCTGGTCGGACCCTGCCCCTCAGTCCTGGTACCGTGCCCTCTGCTATTTTTTTTTTTTTTTTTTTTTTTTTGCAATCCGCTATAGCGCTTAATACGGCCAATTTATCTCAGTTTCCGAGATAAAGAGCTGTTTACCAGCCAATCTTCCTTGAAATTCAAACCTTTTAGGATGTTAGTATTAGGGCTGTACCGAATAGTGATTTTCACTATTCGGCCGAATACGAATACGAAAAGTGTATAGTGTATAAAATATATCTATTAAAAAAAAAAAACACACACACACACACATTCATAATGTCAAATGTATGCTGAACGTTTACTTCACACAAAGTAGCACAGAATAGTCATCTTCGTCTTTAGCATTCTGAGCCCTTGAGGTTTACTGCTGCAGATATCACTCGTCTCCATTTATCTCTCTGGCTGGCCTTCTCTTCACAATTTGTGACACCAGTTGTTTGCAGGTCTGGCTGGACATTATCTCTCGAACTTCTTTTTTGTCTGCCTCTTGGTCTACGCCCATTTTTTCTCTCAGGTGTATACAGTTTTTACTTCTCTATAACTGACATTCTTTCAATATGCCCAAACCATTTTAGTCTGTTAGCTTTCATGATGCCAGTGATCAATGTTGATTCAAACAGATTATGTGTTACGTTGTTGCTTCTCACTCTCCATTTCCCGCTGTTAGCATCTTTGATGGGTCCAAAGATTTGTCGTAAGACCGTTTTCGAAAACATGTAATTAGGCCTCATCTCTTTTAGTTCTGCTCCAAGCTGCAGAGCGATATAAAACGACTGGTCTTATCAACTTTTTATATATTTTAGCAGATGTTGAAGAGCATAGTATACTTTATTTCTAGATTGTATACTATATTGTATTTCTTCTCTCAGCATCTTGGAGCAGTTAAAGTTTGCACCCAAGTACTTAAATGTTTCCGTTTGTTTGATTTTCATATTATCGACTTGGATGTGACCGGAGTTCATATTCTTTCCCCGTATAGTTAGTATTCGTACAGAATAGTAAACAGTTAAAAAACAATTTATGTTTTGCATCCTTCAGTCAGTCTGTGGTAACTAATAACTAGGACTGAAAGAATCCTAAGTATTGCAACAAGTAACTAAACTTAAAAATTGTCACTGACAGCTTAGTTAATGCATGAAAGCTGCATTAGCTTTCAAAAAAAAAAAAAAAAAAACAATCGTTCCATGCTGTCAGCATGGCCGTGTATGCAGAAGCGGGTGTAAGGTAACTACTATTCGTATTCGGCCCGACCGCAACTATTCGGCCGAATACCGAATAGTCAATAGGTCCACTATTCGGGCCCGAAGCGAATACGAAGCGAATATTCGGTACAACCCTAGTTAATATGTCTTTTCTTCTCTGTGCATATTATTCTGAGAATCTTTCTATAGCCTTTCAGTTTAAATGCCCCTATTTTCGTTCTTCCTTGTGTGGGTTATGGGGTCCCATTGTTGGGGGAGGGGCGCTGAGGGGAAAAATAGACCCACTGCCTCGGCAACAAGCGTGTCGTAAGAATCGAATAGTTGTTAGCTTCCTTCGAAGTCAGAGTGCATCTGCCTGAGCGGCAAGGCACAGTCAACTTGACACAAATAAGACAGTAAAATGGATTTACACGCAAAACTCAGGTCCTGGCACAAAGAGCCAAAGTCCAAATGGACGAATAACCAGGACTTTCCGCTGAAGCTTGCAACCGGTGAACAAAGAAGAAGAAGAAGAAATGTATTTCTTTCTCTACATGACTGCCCTGTTTGAGGCTGGGACAAAGGATTATTCTTTTTTATTAGTTGATAAGGACTTTGATTAAAAAGTTCAGGCATGTATCTGGTTCCTCCCCCCCCCCTCATTTTTTTTCTGAAGACCTTTGTTGAGCTCCCTGCTTACAGTACATGTTTGTTTAATTCGTTTATTTTATTGTTGCACCATCAGTAGCAATAAAGAAAAACAAATGGATGATAAATATATGTACCGAAGCCACGATACACCAACGATCTGAAGGATATTATGTATCTCCCAACATTGGAGATCTTGTCTGCAGTCGCCAACATGTCTCCGTGTAAAGAATTGATCACCAAAGTTTTCCCCCACATCGACCACGAAATCTCAGACTACGTCAATAGTAAGTCTTTAATTTCTGGTCCGATTGGTCTAGTAAACAGTATATTTACTTACTAACACAGTGGTTCTACTGGTACAGTCTAGCTAAGGATATTTTATAAATTCATTCGTTCCTAGCCAGGCGAATGAAAATTCAGAAATAGAATAGAAAAATCGGCGCATCATCTGTGATCTCATTTCATTACTATATTCATTATTATTTATTATTATTATTATTTAAATAGGCAGACGAGCAAATAAAATTCTTTTTTTTTTCACTCCATACCCGGTAACATGCCGTTATGCGAAATAGTAAGTAAGTAAATTTTACCTCACCAGGACATACACAGAGCGATAATGATAAAAACACCCGGTGACACAAAGTGCCACCATACGGATGAGGATCACCCGTGGAGAGGTCCCAGAAACCCTGTTAGGCCATATTTATGGGCTGGCTGTATTTAGGGTCCCAGGTAAAAGCCAGGGTGGGGCTTTAAAATAGCTAAAAATTGCATCCGACAAGGGGATGACGAGATACAGCAATAGGCACTCTTCCGAATACCGGCCCCATATTATTTGCTGTCCAAAACATTCCTGTTAGAGCCTCAAAGGGTTCAAGAGGTTACAAAGAGGTCAAGGGGTTATAAAGGAGTTATACAAAATATGGTACAACAAAAAATGGTACAATACGTAGATCATCATCAGTTTCCACATCTGCGCGTTAAGCGTTGTGAGAAATAGTTTTCGATCCACTGAAGTGACGTGGGGAGGAATAATTTTCGATCCATCGACAAAATATGGAACAACAAAATATGGAACAATACGTACCAATAATGCCGTGAAATAATTGAGGCCATCATCATCAGTTTCCACATCTGCGCGTTAAGCGCTGTGAAGTAGCGCTGTGAAGTGACGTGGGGAGGAAAAATTTTCGATCCATCGGAGTGCTGTGTCGATGGGTAGCAACGTTAAGATCATCATCATCAGTCTTCACTTCTGCCGTTAAGAAATAGTTTTCGCTGCACTGAAGTGACGTGGGGAGGAAAAATTTTCGATCCATCGGAGCGCTGTGTCGATGGGTAGCAACGTTAAGATCATCATCATCAGTCTTCACTTCTGCCGTTAAGAAATAGTTTTCGCTGCACTGAAGTGACGTGGGGAGGAAACATTTTCGATCCATCGGAGCGCTGTGTCGATGGGTAGCAACGTTAAGATCATCATCATCAGTCTTCACTTCTGCCGTTAAGAAATAGTTTTCGCTGCACTGAAGTGACGTGGGGAGGAAAAATTTTCGATCCATCGGAGCGCTGTGTCGATGGGTAGCAACGTTAAGATCATCATCATCATCACTTCAGTCTTCACTTCTGCCGTTAAGAAATAGTTTTCGCTGCACTGAAGTGACGTGGGGAGGAAAAATTTTCGATCCATCGGAGCGCTGTGTCGATGGGTAGCAACGTTAAGATCATCATCATCAGTCTTTACTTCTGCCGTTAAGCGCCGTGAAATAATAATTGAAGCCATCATCATCAGTTTTTCACTTCTGCGCAATGTTTGAAGTTTAGCACCGTGGGGAGAAATAGTTTTCGATCGACTGAAGTGACGTGGGGAGGAATAATTTTCGATCCATCGGAAAGAAATAGTTTTCGATCGACTGAAGTGACGTGGGGAGGAATAATTTTTGATCCATCGGAGCGCTGAAGTGACGTGGGGAGGAATAATTTTCGATCCATCGGAGCGCCGTGTGGCTGGGTAGCAACGTTAAGATCATCATCATCAGTCTTCACTTTGGCTCTACTGGCAAATCCGGACGAAGAATAAACAGCCTTGGACGACTGAGAGTTCTCTAGCGTGGCCGCCCTCCAAACAGTGATCGGAAAAGCCACAACGAAACAAACGACACAAGAAGCAACATGGCAGTTAGACGCACTCACATAACTAACATCGTTATTCCGACGCACGACTTAGTTGCCACGGACGTAACTCCTGTATGCCATAATGACATAAGTATGCGTGGTTGCGGTGGCTAACTGAGCATAGTCTGATAAGGAACACGCAACCGTGTACCTCATGCACGCGGCCAATGTTCCTATGTCCCCGGCAAGACTGTAGCGACAGATACGGTTGGCGATGTTATCGCTGTAATACTAGGTGTAGTGTTCGCACTGGGTCGTTTTTCGCCAACAGCGACATGTCGACCGAGAAAATACTCATGATGATGTACTACTGGCTCTCCGGCTAAGTTCAGCGACTGTCATGGTCCTCGAGAGACTCACGAACTGGCACACCATTGTCAACTACAACAATTATTTCCGTCAGGAATGCTATAATTGGATGTTGAGACACACCGTTGAGCTGGGAGGACTCGATGAGACCGGCAGATCTATCGAGGTCGAAGTAGACGAGAGCTACTTCTTCCGACGAAAGTATCAGCGCGGTCGCATCCGTCACGGTCGTTGGATCGTCGGGCTAGTAGAGCGTGAGACTGGCCGTTGCTACTTGGAGCTTGTGCGAAAACGAGATGCGGCGACATTGGAGAGGATTATAAAAGATTACGATACGATACGGGAACGACCATCGTGACTGACGCTTGGCGAGGCTACAGCAACGTGGCAAACTTACGGCATGGCATCTATCTGCACGAGGTAGTAGTCCACCAGACGCCGTACACAGTCACATACACACACAAACAATTGAGGGCCTCTGGATGCTGGTGAAACGCACCATTCGCCAACGATTGGGCATCAGCCGCACACTATTGCGTCATATTTAGCAGAATTTTCAGTGGCGCCACGCCCACAAACATCAGATTGTCGGCCACTATTTCGAAAACCCTACGTCAAAATTTTAACATCTAATCCTACCCCTACCCCTAACCCTAACCCTACCCCTAACCCCCCACCCCGCTCCTTTTTCTCCCTCCACACAGTGGAATTTTTTTAAAAAAAGATACATAAGATACACACTATATATATATATATATATATATATATATATATATATATATATATATATATATATATATATATATATATATATATATATATAATACACAAAGCAAATTCAATCAGATTATTAAATTACAAGAAGCCAAATCAGGATTTCAGAAGGAATAAAAACTGTCGGCCTGTTTCTCTAAATATCTAATGCATTTGATGTATATTAAAGAGAGCGCTGCGTTATACCTGCAAACATCATATCTACTTTGATGGATTTTAAAATACCAAGATGTGTGTAGTAGAAACGACATAGCAGAGAAGATATTATACTTGGCTACAACTTATCTAAACACAAGAGGATGTTCAGTATCAATGAAGTGTGTACCACCTGCTAGTGCGGTCACTGAGAAAATGAAATGACAGACGAAAAGAAGGAAATGCAGAAAACAAAATGCAATACACTTTCCGTCAAAGAAAAGTGGCAACTCTGCCAATAATATTTGACAGTTATATGTCGAAATTGTGGCACAACAGCTGTAAATACTGTCCAAAAACATGTTCTTTGTGACTGTGGCGCCACTGAAATTCGGCTAAATATGTATTAAACAATGCACGACTAGTGCCGCTTTGGAAACGCTGTTTCCTTTTTACTTGCATCCACAGCCCCTTCAATTGTTTGGGTGTGGATGTCTCCGTTTACACGGTCAACAAAATTAATAGCATGAACAACAACGAGATGTTCATATATGCCATTGTTGAGTTGACCAACGTTGTTGTAGCCTCGCCAGGCATCGGTGACAATCGTCGTTCCTGGTAACACATGCTCACTTATGATGCGTTCCAATGTTGTCGCATCTCGCCTATTAACAACTTCCAACCAGCAACGGCCACTACCACGTTCAACTAGCCCAACTACCCATTGACCACGACGAAAGTAACCACGATGGTACTTGCGGTGGAAAAAATAGCTTTCGTCAACTTCAACAACCACTGACTGTCCGTTAGCATCAAATCCTCCCAACTGAGGGTTGCTAAGCAGCAGCCAGTTGTAACACTCTACCCGAAAATAATTGTTATAGTTGACTACTGTATCACAGCTTGTCAATCTCTCAAAAAACATCAAATTTTTTTGCTTGACTTCGAACAACAAGTAAAACATTACCATCACAATTCTTTCAGTTGGGAGTTCACAATTAGCGAAGAACGAACCCGTCCGTACACTGCAACGAGTATTACAGCGACGACATCGCCAAGAGAATCTATCGGAACATAGACACTAATGACACCCGACGGTTTGCAAGACGAACAGTCTACTGAGTTCCGTATTATTCTGTGCATAGCGAGCCATTGCAACCACTGTAGTTTATCGTCCATTATTCTATATAAATCATCAGGTCTGACATCTACAGCTGCCAGTTGATCAACTTGTAGAATATTATTGCTTATCTGTGTCGGAGCCGATGGTCTGCCTGCCATAATTAAAAGTAGCTGCACAAATTATCAAAGAAATATTTTTACTTTATTCACAACTTTTGCCGATAAGCAATTAATTATCTACGCAAGTGCACAAATTCGCAAAGAGACTGTGACGAGGTGCATTCGGTGAGTACAGAATTCCTTCTAAACGCAACAACAACAAAAGTACACAAGTCCAACAGAAACCTTTACAAAGTGAAACAATGAGGTGACTGAACAGCAAACCCAAGCGATCTTCCTAGCGGCGATCAAAGTGTCTGACCAACCAACAATTTATCTCAGTGGAATTTAACGTTAGCTTAACAGCTGGACCAGGGAACGCATCTACGTTGAAAAATTATGCAATCTTCCAGTCGAACGGACAAAAGACCCGAACTTGCGGACGGGCAGGTGGCTAATTACCGAGGGTTAGAGTTGAGACGTAACGGGCATTCTCAGACCAGTCAACTTTGATGTCCAGAGTTTAAACAGGATAGCGGGTCCAGTTGTCTAAGCAAGCGAATTTCGCACATTAATGTGATACACGTAATCTACCTAGTGATGTCTATTGATGTTACAACATACTCGTAATCACAAGTGCGGCTGAAGAGAATGTTGTAAAAGGCAACTAATTAGGACTGCTGAAATCAGATGTGTTGGGGCGAAAGGCGCAGATATCGCAACCTAGCACGAAAGGCGCAGATATAGCAGCGTATTTGTAAACCACAATACACTATGCCAACCGCCATTTCAAGGGCGAAAAAAAAAAAAAAAAGATTAGCTGCCCGTGACATGACCATTGAGCATTTCGCCGCCGCTATCGCAGCCTAGCTGTTAACTACAAGACCGAGCGAAAGGCGCAATCGCAGCCTAGTTGTAACCACAACACAACGTGCAAACCACCCTTTTAACTGCTTATCAACTGTTGTAACTACAAAACAACTTCTAAACCACCCTTTTAAAAGTGAAAAAAAAATTGCCGTCGCTATCGCAACCTAGCTGTTAACCACAAGACCGAGTAAAGGCGCAGATATCGCAGCCTAGTTGTTAACCACAACACAACATGCAATACTACAAAACAACGTCTAAACCACCCTTTTAAAAAAAAAATTTGCCGTCGCTATCGCAACCTAGCTGTTAACCACAAGACCGAGTAAAGGCGCAGATATCGCAGCCTAGTTGTTAACCACAACACAACGTGCAATACTACAAAACAACGTCTAAACCACCCTTTTAAAAGCAAAGAAAAATTTGCCGCCGCTATCGCAACCTAGCTGTTAACCACAAGACCGAGTAAAGGCGCAGCTAGCTGTTAACCACAAGACCGAGTAAAGGCGCAGATATCGCACCCTTTTGAAGAAAAAAATAGAAAAATATTTTTCTTTTCTTTTGGCCCGCCGGAGAATCGAACCCCGATCAACCTGATCACCGGTGTAACAAGCAGACTGCATATCAACTGTACTAGCGAACACTCGGTAATTTCGTTCAAACGTACTTATATAATAAAAGAAGGCATTTCCTGTTCCATATTTTTAACAACATGACCTCTTAGGTCCCTAACAACGACCTCTTGAGGCCCTGAATGGGATTTTTTGTCTTTGAATAATATGGGGCCGGTATTCGGAAGAGTGCCCAGCAATATCATATGATATGACAACAAAACTGAAACCCGGCAACCCTATAGGCTATGGGACACAATCAGTTGCAAGCTTGAGTTACTAACATTTTAAATTGAGATGTTAAAAGATGTAATCCATTGCTTCTCTTTATGATTGTTTTGGGCTAAGGGCTATCCTCACACTGCGTGGATTGGGCTAAACTAGATGGCTGGGACTCACGAGCAGCAGCTTCCGCATCTCCTGCAGCTTTGCTGAGCGGCGTGGGGGGTACTCTCGGCGGTGGCAGTAGTTGCCTGAAAACCGCAAATTAAGTTGTCAGAAGTGCGCAATTGAAACGTGACTGAGACCCTGTTTTTGGCCGCCATCTTTTGTGTATGTTATTCGGAAGATAGCCGGGCTAAGGTTAGCTGTAACCAAAACCCTAACTCTAAACCCAAACTTTAACCTGAATTAGTATTAAATATTAGAGAACATTATTGTGTGAATGTAAACAACTGAAAGGTTGTATCCCTTGTGGTCCCTGTAAGCAAACAATAGAGTGCATCCCCTATGGTTGCCGTTTTCAGTTTTTCCTATTAATATATGCGTAGTTCTATTGTTTTTCGGGGACATAATCTGTTGTAACTTTATATTACTTTAACTACCGACTGTAGGGAACGTAATCCATTCTTTATTCATGTGTAAGTTCACATAATAATAACATTCGGCTATCCTCCGAATAGGCACATATTATGGCGGCCAAAAAAACACCCTAACAGGACCTCAGTCACATGTAAAATGCGGACTTCCAGCGGCTTAAATTGCGGACTACCTTCACCGCCAAGAGTATCTCCCACGCCGCTACGCGTGGCTAAACTAGATGGCTGAGACTCATGAGCAGCAGCTACCGCATCTCCTGCAGCTTCCTTAATTTTTTTTGCCCGTGAGTCCCAGCCATGTAGTTTAGCCGCGCGTAGCGCCATGGGAGATACTCTCGGCGGTGGCGGTAGTCGTTATTCGGAGGATAGCCTAACATTCTTTAATATTTAATATTGTTTGGGGTTAGGGTTGTTACGGCTAACCCTAGCCTGAAGCAATATTGAATATTACAGAACATCATTATGTGAACTTAGACAAATGAAGGATTGTCTCCCTTAAGGTCACCGTAAACAAATAGTAGATTGCATACCTCTAAAGTCGTCGCTCAGATGAGTGCTGTTTTTCATACCCTTGCGGCTGCAGCAGCAATGAGCAAGGTCTTCATTGAGGAGTTACTGTTAATCTCTCTTTAAAGCTCAGTAAAGGTTAAAGTCGAGAGGATCGACTTCATGGCATCAGGTTTGATCCCATATAGCTTGGTCTCTTTTCGCCAAATGACTAGCCGCATGAAGTCTGTAGTTCTGGTGAGATCCCCAGGGATCCCCTTAAAAACTGCACTCATAAACTGAACAGCACAGCTGTGAAACGAACCAGTGACTTTTGTGATGCAAATGATTGGAACACGTCGCAACAAGCTCTTAAATATCAATATTATGTCTTAAAGATAATGTCCCCTTTTGGGGTTCTGGGGCTGTATTGTGTGTGTTTGGGGGAGGGGGCTAGATCTAGTGCACCCAACAAGCATGTCATAAGTGTCTACTTATTAGAGATGATACCTTCAAAGTGGGAGTGCACCTGCCTGAGAAGTGAGGAGCCAACAATCTGCCACAGTGTTCACTTGTCATTTGTGTTTTTGGATATTGTGAAGCTGACTGGTTGTACGTTTCATTTGGTTTGATATCTTCTAAAGACCATTGGATCTGATGTATATACTGTGTTGCCAGGTGTGCTCGAGGATGGAGGAGATGACTTTGAGACATCACATGACCTCTTTGATGCCATTGGGATGATGCTGCAGCAGGCAGATGATACCAAATCAGAGAATGAGATCAAGGACATATGTAATCGTCTTTATTCGCTGCTGCACAGGTTTGTTGAGAATGATGTTTTCTTTGTTTGTTTCCTGTGTTTATAAGATATGTGTTGGGAAATGAAGAGGCAGACAGACTAGCTGGCTCTGTACAACTTGTTGCAGTATTGATGTATGATAAGGCAGACATGGTTAGGGTCTTGTGGGAGCAAATGGATCACCACAGTCTGATGCGAGTGACGCACCAGGGAGTGACGAAGTTATCTGGCTGGTACTCAATGCTCAGAATAAAGGCAAGATGGACATATAATTAGAATGCCACTGGCACCATTGGTGTTGGAACTTTACGCTGGCTGCTAAAGATGGGACAGAGTGCTTATGGGAATGCCCTGAATGCATGATATTGGTTCTTGAATGAACTCAACTCAGCTGTGTTTATAAAATAAAGTGATGTAGACTAGGATTAGCATTACCAGCATGTTGCAGGTCTCACTATCTTCAGTTTTCACCAGTTTCCCTGCCCTTTGTATTTCATGCCCAGCTTGTATTTTGTGTCCCATGTTCACCTTTGGCTGGTCAACCTCTGCCTCTTTTTCCAGGAACCATGTCTTTAAATCATCATTCATAACACATGTCATTGGGTCACCAGTTTCTGTTGACTGATTGGCTCATTCCATTTTTGATAGTCAGATGCAATGGACTTTATGGTTGCATGTCCGAGGTCTGTCTAGTCCCTCAAGTGCTATAACTAGGTCTTTTTTGGTCTTCCTGTTTCCTCTTCTCCTTGGCTGAGTTCTATAGCATTGTCTTTGAGAGGCCATAAGATCTTATTACATATTCATACCATTGCATTTTGTCTTTTCACTGTAGTTAAAAGAGGTTCATAGTTTCCAGAGTATTGAGTAATCATTTGGTGAACCTTGTCATTTGTGATGTCGTCTCTGTGATATGCAAGAATTTTTCAGAAAGATCTCATTTCCAGTTCTTGTGTCTTCTTTTCGAGTTCAGCTGTTAAGGTCAGTGTTTCACAGCCATATGTAAATGTACTAATTACTAGTGCTCTGCGCAGTCACAGCTTGGTTTTACGTTAAATGTTTTTGGATCTCCATAATTGCTGCTGTTTGGGAAGGACCAATGTTGTGACATGATTTCTGGTCCGGACCCTAGGTCACTTAAAATGGATCCTAAATATTTGAAATGATTGCCTTGTTGTAATTTGTGATCATTGATGTATACTGGTGTAGTTATACCAGCAGGATTATTAGTCATTATTTTTGTCTTATCCACATTAATTTCTATGCCATACTAACTCGATGTTTAATCAAGTAGGCTTACAAGTTTTTCCACGACCAGCCTGTCATGTCAGCTGCATACCTCAAGTTTGTTATCATTTGACCTCCTTCACTAACTGTTTCTCTAGGGCACCTGTTATAATTCTTTCTAAGAAGATATTAAACAATGTTGGGGAGAGAAGGTAGCCTTGATGGACTCCTGCTATTGTTCTGAACCAGCTCTCTGTTTGTCCGTTTAGCATGGTAGCCCTACTGGCTTTGGCATAAAACTGTTCTAAACTAAGTTTGAGGATTTTAGCCACATTATACTTTTTAATAGTATCCTAGAGTGCTGCATGCCTTTTTAAATTTAATGAACACGTGGTATAGATGATTGTGTGTTGATGGTATTGCTCTGACATTGTGTGAAAATATCTTTTCTACCATGCTTTTTTCTAGCAGGGAAGCCCACCTGTTCCTCTACTATGATTCTTATTCTTGTGGCTTCAGTCAGTTTAGAAGTATCCATAGCATAACTTTGCTAGGGTTGGTGATGAGACCTTATGGTCTTTAATCACTATCTTTTAAAAGAAAAAGGTCTCTACTGCCAACATTTATCACTTTTTATTTGGGCGAGGGGGGTTATTAATGGCCTTATGGCTAACATACTTGCCATGAACTATGCAGGTCAAGATTATGTTTTTGGTGTATGCCTTGTGGTATGAGTTGCAAGGCATTCTTTCTAAGTGGTCAGACTACTTTTGTAAATTTATTTATAATTGGCTGACCTTTTCGCTTATAACTTCATTCGTGAGTTTATTACTTCTGGTGGTCACTCCTGCAGCCTTTCTCAAACATCTAATTTCTGTGGTTACTAATTTTTTTTCCTGGTTTGTTGTGACTGACCATGTCTAGTACTGGTAGCATAGGGTGGTAATGAATGTACATTGTATGAAAATATTATCAGTAAATGTGATCATATTGAATATTAGAGACCAAGATCTGTGTAGACATAGACACATGCCTTTCTGGCAGGACTCCAGTGGTGATATTGTTGAATACAGGGCATCATCTTTATCTACGTTACTGCCCAAACAGGTGTAAGACTCAACATCTTGGAGTGGGATATCATTAAGAGAAATCAGATTACTATTCATATGGGGCAGTAATGTAAAGATGGGGAAACTAACAGAAATATTGAAATATGAATACAAATGGCAAGAGCTTTCACAGCACTAGGAAATTTGTGAAGTTCAGAATAAATTAAAAATAATACTTAACTTAAGATTTTTAATTCTGGTGTCAAATCACTACTGCTGTATGGAGCAGAAACATAGGGACAACTAAAACAGTTATTAATAAACTACATTCATTCATTAACCAAATAGAGAGAATTAAATGGTATATTAGAGTCACTAATGTTGAGCTTTGGAGAGAATTAACAAGTTCCACTGGACCAAAAAGTGAAGAAAAGATGCTGGCGTTTCATAGACATGCTTTGAGAAAATCTGAGAACAATATAACTGGAATTATTTTGCACTGGAACCCACGGGGCATAGAAATACAGACCAAAAAAACAAATGGAGAAGAGAGCTAGAGAGTGCAGTTAAAAATATGGCGAGGACATGAGGTCAGCTGCCTGCAGTAGCAAAGGGTAGAACGACTTGGCATGAGTTGGTTGAGGACCTATGCTGCATTTGGAAACAGAAAGCAGAAGAAAAAGAAGACAGCGCATCATGTTATGTGTGTTTTTTTCCCCCTGTTTAGCACGGTGAACGCATCAAAGACTGACGGCCAGACAATCAATGGATTTAATAAGATCCTTGATGCCCCAGTTCAGATGTCGGAGATGTCAGAGGCTCCAAGCAACGTCACAGACCATAGTATCTGGCTAGTAAAGAAGGACAACGCATCGGTAAGTTACCACCCTGTGTGGGTTCTGGGGACCGCATTTCTGTTTTAGGGCCCCCCCCCCCCCCCACCCAAGAAACTAGTTGTAAAAGACAACTAACTATGGGTGTTTCCTTCAAACTGCATCTGCCTGAGAGGCGAGTAACCAACAGTCTGCATACAGATAAGCCAGATCTTTAAAATGGATGTGCATGCAAAACTCAAGCTTGTTTGTAGGCAGACTGTTGTTTCTTCATCTCTCAGGCAGATGCACTCAGACTTTAAAGGAAACAGCCCTGACTAGTCAGCTCCTATAACATGCTTGGGGGAGGGGAGGATTGGGTCTAGGTCTTTCAGTGTCTGCATTCTCTGTCTGCCTTATTGCACTGTCCATTTTATCTCAGAGAGCCTTGATAACGTCCACTTTATCACAAAGTAGCTCACAGCCGAGTGAAGCAGGAGCAGCTAATCTATCAGCCTGCTCATTGCCTCACACACCTCAATATCCTGGACAAAAAATCTATGACATGCTCCTGGTCTAGTCCTGTCGGGTGATAAGACCCATCTCATTGAATGTTCATCATTTGCCTCATATATTTGTTTTCAGCTACATGTAATTTTGAATGAAATGCATACTGAAATCTGATTTTAAAGGCAGACATGGCTGAGAGTTGTTGTCTGCAGCTCAGTCTGTGAAGTTAACAGGATTAAATCCCAGTATACTACAGTAAAAATGTCCAGTGCCTCCAAGGAACACTCAACAAACTTCAGAGCAGAGCAACAAGCAATTATTGATGCAGCCAAATTACTTGAGGAAAGAAAATTGAAAAAGCAGCTAAATTCATTTCCTGTGTGACTGTGTCAGTCCTTCAGGCGACTCAAAGGGATCCATGAGACAGCATGGAGAGAGAACTGATCTGCCAGCTAAACAAACTCTCAGAAAGGAATAAAATCATTCTCTAGTGGATCCCAGCTCACTGCGGCATACCAGGAAATGAGTTGGCGGACAGACTTGCAAAAAATGGAAAAAAGGAGCAACAACACACCCATTCATTCTTATTACCAGAAATGAAAACAATTACCAAGGGGAAATGCAAGGGATTGTGGAGACAACAAACCAACAGTAAACATTCACAAGACCTCATCATCACGCTCAACAAAAAGCAACACACAACAGTTTTCCATCTAAGGACAGGACACTGCAGGCTCAACTACCACAAGCATAAAATAAAGATTGTTCAGTCCCCACAGTGTGTCTGTCAGATGGGACCACAAACACCTGAGCACATTCTGCAGGCCTGCACACTCTACCTACAACTAGGAAAAGACACCTGGCCTGAAGAGCAGAATGTGCAGAGCAAGCTGTGGTGCACCATGAAGAAGCTGCAGCTGACATATGAGTTTATAGAGGCAGCCCACCTGATGGTCTGAGCTGAGCATACGAAACCAAACACAAAGAAAAAGGAGAACAAATCCCAACATAGTGCATTTTCTTAAAAACCGTTGGTTTCTTTTGAGATTCATACATTTCTTTATCTCCTTGATTGTGAAATTGGTCATCTAGTCTTCTCTGATTATTGCGAAAATAGGCAGTCCTAAGGATTTTAGTTATGCAGGGTTTTTTTTTTTTTTAAACATATGGCATATCATCATCATCAGGTGCCTTGCCGACTGGCGTGTGCGATCATGCCTCTCCATTATCTGCGATCTCCTGCAGCATGTATCAGTTTGTGTGCCGACACACCTCCATGCCATGCAACAAGACTGTCAAGCATCTTCTCTCGTTGTCTTCCTCTATCTCTCCTTCCACATATCTTTCCAGTGGTCACAACATGTTCTATTTTCCCTCTTCTCATAACATGGCCGAAAAATGATGACTGTCTCCTTCTGATGTCTGTGATAAGTTGTCTTCGGGCTACCGCCTCTTTCAAAACCTCTTGGTTGCTCTTTTTGGCTGTCCAAGGTATTCTAAGCATTCTTCTGTAAAACCACATCTCTGAGGCCTCCAGAAATTGTTTGGCCTGCCTACCGATTGTCCAGGATTCACAGCCATATGTTAAAACTGGATGTATGTAGCAAGTAAGAATTCTTTTTCAAACTCTCAATGACAAGGATATATTGCACAAGATGTTTTTCATTTTATAAAATGCAGTTTTTGCCTGTCCTATTCTATTTCTTATCTCAGTTATGCATCTTCCATCTGATGTTATCCATGTGCCCAGATACTTAAATTTCTGTACTTGTCCTAAAATAACACCATCAACTTTTATTACACACTTAGGAATAATTCGTTTCTTTGATACCACTATATTACTTCTGTCTTCCCATTATTCAAACTGAGGCCCATTCTTCCACTTTCTAACACCACAATGTCTATCATTTCCTGTAGTTCTTTCTGACTTGTTGCTATCAAGTCTGTGTCATCAGCATAACGTAAATTGTTTTAATTGTGCCCACCAACCACAATTCCTGGCATACCAATTAAATCTCTCATTATATATTCACTGTATATTAAAAACAAATCAGGTGACATTACACATATGACATATAGACATTACAAAGAGTAGTAGTCTTCAAGTCAGCTGTCCTGGCAAAATTGCCTGTGTTCTTCTGAAAAGGCATATAAACGTTTTTGCATCATTTGTTTTTGTTAGAACAGATAACTTTTATTCATGAATAAACGGATTTATGGAATTTTTTTTAAATTGTTGACAGGATCATTTGTACTTTGCATATTTTGATGCTTGTGTGAGTGGATTTTATTGTTTGTTGCAGGTAGTGGACCAGAAGAAACTGGACAAGGCCCACCAGATGATCCAGAAAAAACAGGATAGACGTGATCAGACAGTCATCAAGAAAGTGGAGAGGTTAGTGATGAGCTGAGTGGGGTTATCTGCCCACCACTACTTCAGTTAGGAGCCACCGTCGTGTAGCGGCTAGATGCTCACCTGAGGGTCATGGATTCAAATCCACATGAAGCCTTGTCTTGGGCGGCTGATATGATGGTGACCACATCACACATTGTGGGCCGATTGGCCTGTAAAAATATGTGTCCAGCCTCATGTGCCTGATGCACCACTGGCGTATAAAGAGATTTTACTAGCTCAGTTAGACCTGATACAAATCATAGTATGGCTTGATTTGTCTGCCACTAGCTCAGAGTTGGGACAGTTCACTGTAGGGTTTAGCCATATTGCTAGAGCAGTACCAGTTAGAGTTGGGACAGTTCACTGTAGGGTTTATTCGTATTGCTAGAGCAGTTAGAGTTGGGACAGTTCACTGTAGGGTTTAGCCGTATGTTGCTTGAGCAGTCAGAGTTGGAACAGTTCACTGTAGGCTTTAGCTGTATGTTGCTAGAGCAGCTAGACTCAGAGGTGTTTTTTGATGAGTCACAGAGGGTGTTTAAGTGTATGTAAATCACATATGTATTTATATAAGACACAGAGGTGTGTGTGTGGATAAGTATCAGAGTTGTTATGTGGATACATCACAGAGGCATTTATGCGAATAAATCACATAGTTGTTTATGTGGTTAAATCGCTGAATTGTTTATGTGGATAAGGGTCAGTGTTGTTTATTTAGATAAGTATCAGATATCTTTATGTGCATAAGTCACAGGTGTTTATGTGGGTAAGTCAGTTATTTTTCTGAGATAAGTCGCAGGTGTTGATGCAGATAAGATAGAATGTCGAGGAAAGTAGCTGGTCTCCCCAGCTGATAATTCTGTAAGTTATCAGTTCCCATGCTGGCAGTAGTAGTATTGCAAGTTTTGTACTAGTGATATGACAGTAGCAGTAGTGCCAGTAGTTGTACTAGTCATATGACAGTAGCAGTAGTGCCAGTAGTTGCACTAGTCATATGACAGTAGTAGTATTGCCAGTAGTTGCACTAGTCATATGACAGTAGCAGTAGTGCCAGTAGTTGCACTAGTCATATGACAGTAGCAGTAGTGCCAGTAGTTGTACTAGTCATATGACAGTAGCAGTAGTGCCAGTAGTTGCACTAGTCATATGACAGTAGTAGTATTGCCAGTAGTTGCACTAGTCATATGACAGTAGCAGTAGTGCCAGTAGTTGCACTAGTCATATGACAGTAGTAGTATTGCCAGTAGTTGCACTAGTCATATGACAGTAGCAGTAGTGCCAGTAGTTGCACTAGTCATATGACAGTAGTAGTATTGCCAGTAGTTGCACTAGTCATATGACAGTAGCAGTAGTGCCAGTAGTTGCACTAGTCATATGACAGTAGTAGTATTGCCAGTAGTTGCACTAGTCATATGACAGTAGCAGTAGTGCCAGTAGTTGCACTAGTCATATAACAGTAGCAGTAGTGCCAGTAGTTGTACTAGTCATATGACAATTGTAGTAATGCTAGTAGTAAAGTGCCTGCACTGTTGTTAGTCTGCAATGTTTACTCAGTCTTTGTTACAGCTTTTCAAAAATTGCCAGTGTCGTAGTAGCAGCAGTAACAGTAGTAGTAGTAGCAGCAGCAACAGTAGTAGTAGTAGCAGCAGCAACAGTAGTAATAGTAGTAGCAGCAACTGTAGTAGTAGTAGCAGCAGTAGTAATAATAACAGCAGCAGCAACAGTAGTAATAGTAACAGCAGTAGTAGTAGTAAACACTTAACTTTATCTTTGTTTCAGTGTTCCAGAAATTGCCAATGTTGGCATAGTAGTGCCAGTAGTAGTAGTAGTCATATGATAGTAGTAGTTGTGCCTGTAGTAGTAGTCATATGATAGTAGTAGTAGTCATATGATAGTAGTAGTTGTCATATGATAGTAGTAGTAGTTATATGATAGTAGTAGTAGTCATATGATAGTAGCAATAGTGCCTGTAGTAGTAGTCATATGATAGTCGTTGTAGTCATATGATAGTAGTAGTTGTGTCTGTATTTATAATAGTAGTAGTGCCAATAGTAGTAGTCATATGGTATAGTAGTAGTCGTGATATTAGTTGTAGTCATATAATAGTAGTAGTAGTGCCTGTAGTAGTAACCATGTGATAGTAGTCATATGATTACACACATATAATCACATGAAACTGTTTATTCAATCTTTGTTGCAGTGTTCCTGAAATCGCCAGTGCCAGCCAACAGATCAGCAAGAGGGAGGTGAAAATGGATGCGTCCGGGACTAACAAGTCATACGATATACGACTGGAAAATATTGACGTTTCATACGGAGACAAGTGAGTTCACTTTTATCATTTTCTTGTTATTGTCTTCTTCTTCTCTAGTCCTATTCGCCTTTCTATGTCAGGTCTTGAAGAGGTATCGAGTGCAAGCCTTGGTGGTATGTGCTATGTATGTAGATGCTGGTATTTACGTCCTCGGATATTCCATCTATCCATTGCTTGCATCATTAACCACTCGACTTCCATTATGTCTGAATGACAGCGCTGTCTGTGTTGTACCATCTGGTGCTCTGGCATTATTGTTTGATGTTGAAATTCATATCTTCTTGCGAATGCTTCCCTGACTCATGATAAAATTAGCAGTTTTATGTAAGGTTCTACTTTGTTTCGATACAACTTTGAGTATGGGTGTTGACTTATTGGGCCAGTATTCTCTTCCTTATGGGCTGTACAAGATGCAGTCTTGCAAGACACGTTTTGTGATTTATGCGTACATCCCACATAGGCACACGAGTGAACTATTCAAGAGATGCTTGTTAAGTTTGTAATACAGTGTCCTGAAGCGTAGAATAAAGACCTGCCTATGACCTGATCATGAGGTAGTCATGACTAACCTGATTCTGCTCACTTCTGGTGGGCGGGATGGCCATTTTGTTTTGTGTGAGTATGTTATTATATTGGAAATTCATGACAGAAGATTTAAATGTTCACAAAAAAACTGTCCTTGAAAGTATATAAAAATAGGAAAACCATAAAATCAACCTAAGACATCGTCACAGCTTACCAAGCAACCTGTTGCACCTGAGCTTCACTGCTGATCATCTGTTGAACTTTGACACCTATCGGCACAAAGCAAATAAGAAAAAACAAGATATGATACACAGTTGGGAAATTACGACATTTCATATGATAAGTATTGTGTTAATGTGTTATCTTCTCATTATTGTACCATTTTTGATTTGTTCTTTTTCCCTGCCACTAGTACAAAACAAATAACAGACTCTTTTCCATGCTTGGACACTAGCTAGGTATACTTTGAGTAAAATATGCAATATTGCTGGTGCAGCTGCTGATTTGTTGTAACTACTGCTTCCATCAATGATGAACTGCAATTCTTGTGGCAGAATATTTGTGTTGGCACTTCTGACTGCTGCCTTATGCGTTTACTGCATGTATATGCTGTTGGCTTTGCTAAGACTACAATCTGTTTTGATTTTCTCACAAATGGCAGCAATGGGCATTCTGTAGTGATTTTCACTGGCAATAGGAATGCAACGATTGCCATGAAGTTGGAACTGTGTGTCTAAGTAACTGATTTTAAGTAATTTTTTAAAAACCTAAGTGTGATTTTCATTGTCAACTGTATTGTTTTTTGTAGTTTTGTTCTCTGTCAAAATTTATGTTGTCTAATGTTTCATCTAATGTCTGTTTTATCTGTCTTGTTTACTTCCTCACATTATGGCAGCCTGTCAACACCTTTAAATATATTTGTGTGACTTTCTGTGCAGGGTGCTTCTGACCGGTGCAGATCTTCACCTGGTTTTTGGCAGACGTTATGGTTTCACTGGCAGAAATGGCCTGGGCAAGACCACACTACTGAAAATGCTGTCCAGGTGAGTTCAGCTAAAGACTACATTGATGAAAATGCTGTTCAGGCAGGTCAGGTTACTATGCACTGGGGCAGAAATATTTTAAATAACACAGGACGTAAATTTTACCTATGTATTAGTCTGTTTGGCCTGCTCTTTTTTTGTTTCAAACTGTCTGGATTTTTTAACCTACACTGTGTTCTGCTATTTCTTCACTCTTATCTGAGTAAACAGAGACATCTAGTTGACTACCCCTGAATCAGGGGATGGGTACGTATTGATTGTCCTTTACTTTTTCTGTAGAATATCAGTCATACAGTGGGGGGTATAAATAATACCGGCCTTCCTCTTTGTCTTTTCCTCTCTCTTCCTCTCTGCCTCATTCTTCCTTATTCCCCAGTAAATCAAAGGCCCTCAGCTAACTTATTACAAACCATACTATATGTTATAATCTCTTGTGGCTTCCTCTATGTCCTCCTCATATTAGTTGTAACATTCCATGTGCCAGTTCTAGAGGTTTTACCAGTTAAAATAGGTCTGTGATCCATTTTTCCCCTCAGCTTTTCCATACCTCATTAAGATCTTTCTAGAACAAATCTGTAACTTTTCAGTATGGTGAGCCAAACCATTTAAGTTGCTTCTTGTTTGGTAATTTACAGTGATACTGTTCTTTTACCACCACCAGGCACTACAGCTAGGAAGATCTCATGTTAACGTTGGAGGACACCCAAGGAGAAGTTGGACTGATGACATTAAAGATCTCTGCATCCGCACAGTAGCCATTGATACCCATGCAGCATTGGATCGCACACTGTTCCTCCCCAAGTCACTTAAAACCAAGTCACTTCCAAAAGTAGAAAGGGATCATGACTATTCTTTAGTTCCCAAAAGGCATCGTTAACAAATGAACCATTCGGCGCCCTGTCGCGTTGAGAATGGAAGATATCACACTAATAGACAGGTCCATGGGTTCACTTTTCTCAAGACTTGGATTTCTGCTCAAATAAGACAAATACTTTTATGAAACGTATAAAAAAATGATCAGAGACAGCAGCTGTGTATGAGGTATAATAATACCTCATATTGTTTCTAATCTTTCTAGTGGATCTCTGAAGATCCCCTCTCACATCTCTGTGCTTCATATTGTACTAGTCATAGTCCTAACCGTAATACCTCATGTTGTTTCTGATTTTCCAGTGGATCTCTGAAGATCCCCTCTCACATCTCAGTGCTTCATGTGGAACAGGAAGTGGCCGGAGATGAGACTGAAGCCCTCCAGAGTGTCTTGGAGTGTGATGAAAAGAGAGAAGCGTTATTGAGAGAGGAAAGGGAAATTACCCAGAAGCTGAATTCCTCCAGGTAATGAGTGGATATCGATTCAAGTGTTTGTGTCCGTGTTTTTGGTGAAGAAGTGATACCTTATCATTCTGTCTTGGTGATGATACATGAAGTAAGGCTAAATGTTATCAGAAAACTAAACATCTGTAGGCTTAGATAGTTTTATTCATCTCATCTTGATTCTCTGGTACCTTGCAGTGTCGAGAAGTATAATTTATGGGAAAGTGCTGTTTTTGTGCTTTGTAAAAAGGGATTTCCATGGACTTAGTAATTCCCTAAACCTTGGACACAGAGCTTAGTATAAACTGTTTGTGTTTCCAAACCTTGGACACAGAGCTTAGCGTCAGCTGTTTTTGTCTTCCCTCAGCCCTGAAGACAGCACTTCACTATCAGCTGTTTTATCTCCCACAATCCAGAACATGGCATTTCACCATTAACTGCTTATCGGTTTTCCCCAGTCCAGAATGTGACAGCTTAATAACATCTGTGTTTTTGTTTTTGCCAGCCTAGAATATGGTAGCTTTTTTTTTCTGCGTTCATCTGAAGGTGTAAATGCATTGTGGCCGTTTACAGCATGGTTGCCCTGGCACATCCAACATCTACGGGCATTTATTGCTTGTGTTAGCCTTCCCATGAAATACGACATTGCAGTCTCTTTGTTGTGTGGTCATCTTTGTTTTATAGCTCACAGGCTGTGTCCCCATCGGGCCGGTCCAGAGCAGCCAAATTATGCTTGTCAGCCATCAAGAGATGACAGGGACAGTACATGAGCATTTTCTGCCAAACAAAGAGGCTTCCATAAATTCAGAGCCAATCCATGATGCTCTGGTACTGGGCTCATCTAAAGAATCATCACCTTCTGCTCATGATTGTTCCCATATATTGATAGGGAAGCTCAGTATCATTTGTTTATCTTTCTTCTCCAGCCCAGAACACAGCAACTCAGTATCATTTGTTTATCTTTCTTCTCCAGCCCAGAACACAGCAACTCAGTATCATTTGTTTATCAGTTGCTCCCATGACCTGAACATGACAGCTCAGTATAATATTTTATAAGTATTTCCCAGCCCAGAACTCGGCAGCTCTATGTTGTATTTTTGTCTGTTTTCAGTAGCCCTGAACATGATACTTCACTGTCAACTCAGCTACAGGCCGTGTACAAGGCACTTGAAGCCATGGAGTCCGACAAAGCTCCAGCAAAAGCAGCAATGATACTTAATGGTCTGGGCTTCAGCAGTGCAGATCAGCGGAGACATACAAAGTAAGTGAGGTGGAAGTTAGTTCAGACCTTGTCAACTACAGACAGATCTGAGTAGATGGTAATTATTATTTGTCATGCAGTTCCCTGTGTGGCTTCTTATGCCCTATTTGGGGGGGGAGAATAGACTTGGTGCCTCTCTAGTAAGTTTGTCCTAAAAAAAGACTAATTAGAGTGTATCATTCAAAGTCAGTGTGTATCTACCTCAGAGGCAAGGAACTGACGGTCTGCATAATCATAAGCCAGATCTGTAAAACTCAAGTTCTGGAACAAGACTAAGTCCAGAAGTGGACGATTAACCCCTGCCTAGTCAAGATTTTAGAATACCTCGTAACTGTCAGGGGCCCTATTATAACCTGATGGTTGAATGCAGCTCACCTGAATTTGAATAAGTAGGATTCTCATCCTTGAGGTATTAATCCTGCGAACTGCCATGCTGGAGGGGAGAAACTTCTACCTTTTCTAACCCCCAATGGAGTATAGGCCCTCAATTAACTCTTACCAAGTCTTTCAATCCTTTGCTATTGCATGCAGCTCTCCTCGTGTTCTCCCATCTTTTTAACTTCACTCTCTAGCTTCTTTCTCCATGTGTTTTTGATGTTCCTTTATTGCTATGTTCCTGTTACAAGAGCCTTTCTTTATCTAAGTTGGCTGGGTTTTTCTTGTAGGGAAGAAACTGCAAGCAGGGAACTTTCTGCCAGAGTTTACTGCCCGTGAACATGAAGAAGAAGAGGTTCATGTGGTGCCATCTTCACATTGATGGTAGAATGTACCGGGTCTTCAGCAGTCTCTGTCCTACATCATCACAAGCTTCTTTTAACCTATCACTCAATGTAGTCCACCGGTATGTAATGGTGTCCTTCTTCCTTTTGCTGTCTTGTAGAATTTAAGGTTATCAGAAAAGGACCTTTCCGGCTTTGATGCCAAGTAAATCATTCTTCTGCATTTCATTTTCAAATATCCCTAAGTGTTTTATGGGCCTCATATTAAAGGGGGGGGGGGGGGGGTGGGGAGAATAGACCCACTGCCTTTCTGATAAGCATGTCATTAGGGGTGTATCCTTGAAAATCAGAGTATATCTGCTTGTGAGGCAATGAACCAACAGTCTGCATAAATGAGCTAGATCTGTCAAACGAATGTGAATGCATAACTCAAGTTGTAGAACAACCATAACTTTTCAGTAAAGTTTTCAGTGATGAACGCTAATGAGAAGAAAAAGTACTCCTAATATTTCTTGTGGTGGTTTTCTTCCAGAGATGAGGTAGCAGGTCTTATGCCAACTCTATTTATTGCCTCTCATCTCATAATGGCAGCTTAGTTCTTGCCTGGTATGCTCAAAGGAAGCCATAAAACCTTAATAGAACTGATTCATATCAGGACCCCACAACATGTTAGGAAGGACAGCCATTCAAGGACAAGGATAGATGGCAGGACAGAAAAACTATCGCCATGCAGGAAATAAGGACATCTACTCATTCATACATAACAGTCGTACTCAGGATACCGGAAGCACAGCCAGGAAGATGGACACGCAAAACAGAACCTCCATCAGGATCTAGGACCAGCAGAGAGGGACCCAGGCAGGGTCACATATTGACACCACATGCAGTAAGGGACACTAAGCCACAACTACTGGCTCAACAATCCATTTAAGCCATTTAACTTATTGTAGATAAAACCAGACCATAATTACAACCAAAGCTGTCTTCGGCAGGTTTTATTATGGTCACACCTCTGTCCTCAAATCAACAACTCATAATGGTAGTTTACTGTTTTGTTTCCACTTACACACTCCCCTCCCTCCCCCCACCCACCCCCACTCTCAACAGGCAGGAAAATTATTAATTTATGGTCATGATGAAGATAAACTTTTCACTGTGAAACATGAGCATAAATATCTCTTTGTCTGTTTTATCTACGCTTCTGATTTCTTTGTGTTCGTGAGATACTTAACTACTATGTTAATATTTTTTCAAGTTAACAAGATAGAGTCTTTGACATTATCATCACTTTCTCGAATAAGTCTGCAGATTTTGATGGGGCACTGACTAATGTTTATTTTTGTTCTCAGGGAATTTTCTGGTGGTTGGAGGATGAGACTTGCATTGGCCAGGGCACTGTTCACAAAGTAAGCCAGTTTGGATGTCTTGCCAGTTTGAGTTTTCATTTAAAATGAACTTTTATTATTTAGAGTGTTCCCAAATTTGGAAAAAATGATTTGATTTGATTCAAGAACCAACATCACAGCACTCGTGGCATTCCCAAAAGAGCTCCGTCCCCATCTTCAGCAGCCAGCAAAGAGTTCTGATACTAATGGTGCCAGTAGCATTCTGATTAAACGTCCGTCTTGCCTTTCCTCTGAGTCTCGAGCATCTGCCAGAACCTCTCGTCACTCCCCGCTACATCAGTCTCACCAGACTGGTGATCCATCTGCTCCTCCAAACTGTACATTCTCTCCCACAAGGCACCAACCACGTCTGCCTTATCATGTATCAGTATTCCACCAAGTTGTGCAGAGCCAGCCAGTCTGTCCGCCTGTTCATTTCCCAACACACCGGCATAACCTGGTGAAAAAATCCAGACAATACTCCTCTCCCGTGTCCTCTGCAGCAAAGCATGCCACTCTGCACGAAGCATACCTCTTCTGATCTTCCTCTGCCTTCCTCTGCATGCTTTCTGAATCAGTTACAATCACGATGTGTGTGTGTGTGTCGTGTTCTCTAGCCAGCAGAAAGCTGCAGTGACCGCCTCCACCTCCATTCTTAAGCCAGATGTTGTGATATAATATGCTAGGCTCTCCAGCACCAAACGTCAACCATTAAATTTAGCTAAGAAGCCCCAAGCACTTCTTTTGCTTCTTGACACTGAAAATGAATGAATGTGAAAACCAATCTATACCAAATCCTATCCAATTTGAAAAGAGGGAAAATGGAACAAGTTGTGACCACTGGAAAGATCTGTGGAAGGAGGGATAGAGGAAGACAACGAGAGAAGATTTTTGACAGTCTTGTTGCATGGCATGGAGGCGTGTCGGCACATGAACTGATACATGCTGCAGGAGAAATTGCAGATTGTGGAGAGGCATGATCGCCCACGCCAGTCATCAAGGCAGCTGATGATCCAATTTAAAGGTGTCATGATCAGCCGTTACGTGGTTACATTGCTTCAATTGTCCTCCTGTGGGTTCCACACCCCAGTTTTGGGATGACACAAAGTTTACAGCTGGTGAATGTGAAGAAGAAGTAGAAGAAGTTTCAGGTGAATTTATGACATAACATTCCAACACACACAATAACAAAAGAGACTTTAGAATGCAAGACATTTCTTTTAATTTATCCTGTGGGTTCCACACCCCAGTTTTGGGATGACACAAAGTTTACAGCTGGTGAATGTGAAGAAGAAGTAGAAGAAGTTTCAGGTGAATTTATGACATAACATTCCAACACACACAATAACAAAAGAGACTTTAGAATGCAAGACATTTCTTTTAATTTATCTGGGCTTGTAGAATCTTTCTTTTCCTCACACACATCTCTGTGGAGGCTAATCCGGTGCCGCTGCACTGACAGCTGAGTCAGCCTTTGAGGCACTTTTACACCCCAGTGTGGAAGAGGACAGACTAAATGAGGCTTAGGTGCCTTTACACTCCAGGGTAGAGGAGGAAAGATGAAGTGTTACTATTTGGTGCTTCTACAGTAAAGACAGGGTAGTAAAGGCAAGACTGAAAAAGGCTTCCTTGTGTGTGATCTATGGCTCCGTCGGGGGGAGGGGGGGGGGGGATCCATTGCCTCTGAACAAGCATGTCACAGGAGGCAAAGTTTGAACACATATATCTGAGAGGTAAGGAACCAACAGTCTGCATACAAATAAGCCAGATCTGGAGAAAAAAAAGATGTGCACACAAAACCCAAGTTCTGTATTATTATCAAAGTCCAGGAGTGGACCAACAACCAGAACTTTCCTACAGAGTTAAAAGCCGGTGAATGCTAAGAAGAAGAAGAACAAGACTAAGGTTATGCTGCACTCAGATGTAGAAAAGGAAAACCCCAGCATCTCAGTATAGAAGATTTCCCTTGTGTGTTCCGGGGTCCTGTTATAGGGAAAACAAGAAAAGACCAACTGCCTACCCAAAAGAATGTTGTAAGAGTCGACTAATTGGGAGCTTTCTTCAAAGTCAGAGTGCTGCATCTGCCTCTGAGAGGCAAGGAACCAGTAGTCTTCATACAAATGAGTCAGATCTGTAAAACGGATGCACACGCAACACTCAGATTCCGGAATAGGACTGCAGTCCAGAAATGGATGAACAACCAGAACTTTTCACCAGAGTTTACAGCTGGTGAACACAAGGAAGAAGAAGTATAGAAGATAAATAATTAGGGATGAGTAATATCTGCGGTATTTGAAGAACTACACATAAGTAGCATAATGGTGGCTCTTTCTTCTTAGCATACACTGCCTGTAAGCTCCAGTGGAAGATTCTGATTGTTCATCCACTTCTAGACTTTGATCTGGTTCCAGAACTTGAGTTTTGCATGCACACTGTTGGTTACTTACCTCTCAGGCAGATGTAATTTGACTCCTAATGAGACACCCCTAATTAGTCGCCTTTCACGACATGCCTGTTGAGTAGTCTGCGAGTCTGTTCTTTTTCCCCCCAAAAAATTGGGCCCTGGAACCCCACACAGGGATAGTATTGGCTAAATGCTTCCTTCATCTCCTCCAAATATTAGGTATCAAGATTAGTTTATTGTTTTTCTTATCTTTTTTTTTTTTTCCAGACCAGATCTACTGCTTCTTGATGGTGAGTTTTTAGCTGCAGATTTCTGTGTAAACTGTAAAACCTCATTAACATGAACTTGCTTAAGAAGATCACTCATTTAATATAGCCAAATTTGATACCACCAGAGATGTATTATTATTTAATCCAGTTAGCACAAATTTTGTTTACACAAACTCTTGATTTTTTGGTCCTATGTAATGTGTTTTGATGAGATTTTTACTGTATAATCTAAAATAAACAGACCTTTACCGTGCCTTCCGATATATTTGGTATATGGTGCTAGTCCTATATTTTTATAATCAGCTGACACCTGATGGGTTATGTGTTCAGTATCACTCTATAGTGGCTTTGGAAAATGGGGGGGGGGGGGCATTTCCTGGTATCCTTTTAGGCTGGGTTTGATCCGGGAGCCCATGCCAGTTTTTAAAGAATCTGCCTTAAAATCTACACTTATTTTATCCAACCTTAGAATATGCCTTAGTGAACATTATACACAGTGCAGGTGAGTGGGGAGGCAAAAACAAGAAAGTCGGACATTCCTTCAACTATTTTAGATATGACAATGGAGATAGCAGCTGTCACAGGAGCACTTGTGTGGCTGGCAGAGCAGAAAGTAACTCATGCATTGATAGCAGTGACTGACTTACTGAGCATGCTTAACCCTTTCGCGGCTGTGGACTTTTTTTTCCGTTAGCCCACAGACTGCTACTTGCGTTTTTGGACATTATCCAGATTCTTGGCCCTTATTACTGTGGCCGTAAAAACACATATTAGTCTTTCCTTACAGATTTCAAAGGGCTGAATTCTCGAGGGTCAAAGGGCAATACACATTAGCCATATTCGGATTTAATTGACCAATTTACATACGATGAAACACCTTGCCACGTGTGTTCTGAGTTGTCCTGTAGCTTTGTTTACCATAGAAGCATGGTCGGTGAACTGTATTTTTTTGCCCTGAAATATATTTCTGGTTTTACATTAGTCTATATTTGATGTTTACAAAATGGCAAGAAAACTTATTTAAGTTGATGACGAATTAATGGAGTTTCTTTGAAGGAGAAGTAGTAAGAATCGCTTTGAAATATGCGAGTTATAATTCGGGTTATTTGAGTTATTTTTACGGACTGTCGGCTAACATTTCTACTTCTGGCATGAGCAAGATCATCTGACCCAGCCATCTACATTGATGGAATGTTAAATGGATCCCCAATAATCAACAGGAAGATATGGCCATGTACTTTCATGATGATTAAATTTAATAATCATCTATCTGTACAACACACAATGTATGTGTCTGTCTATCACATTGTACAATACTGGTTTTCAGTTTTTATTATCATATAGAATGGTTTGTAGTTGGTATCGCATTCGCCTTACAATCAGAAGGTCATGTGTTCAGCCCTTCTGAACCTTTTTTTTTTTTTTGTTACATGCTTTTTTGCTTTCAGTTTTTGGCACTTTTGGCAACAGATGACCAAAGGATTAATTTTTTTTTCTTCAAAGTAATAACATGTGCCTACAATTAATTATGATTAAAGTGGGAGCTGCGGTAGATTCATTAATAAAATTGTGGGGACTCCCAACAGTTTGGATTGTAACCCTGAGTCACAGCCAAGGATGGACTGCTAGGACCCTTCTAGAACAGTTCTTCCCATTACCTGATCTGAAATAAAAGAGCCGAAAGACTGGTCATGTCTGCAGTGGTTAGTGGAGGAGGAAACATGGACAGGGAAGACATGCTCAATGTGCTGCATTCCAAAGATGTTGGGATAAAAGAGTCAGAGGTTATGAACCACCTATTAGAAATTGGTTATTAAATAAAGACTTGCTATTCAGAAACTGGTTGCAGGGCAAAGAAAGAAGAAATGCCAGTCAACTTCTACTGGGTACGGTATGCATGAAAACACTGAGGTGGCTGCTGCATTCAAGTACAGAATAGGAATGAGTCAGACCAATGTGTTTGGGTGTCAATCAGTAACAAGAACAGTATTTGGTAGTGTTCTATAGTTTAAGGTTACATATTGCTGCATATCCTGTCTTTAGCTTTGTTTACCTGTGGCTTTTAGATCTGTTGTGTTCTAAAGATAATCTGAAAGATAACAGTTATCCTGTTGATAAGATAACATTGTTGCTTTTTCCTTTGGTTGATATGTAACCAGAATACCTGGTTATTATCTCCCATCACCTTCAGTCTTCAAATGAGGGTGTCTTTTATTACTTGCCAGTATTTTAGTTTTGTTTTGTTTTTACGGTATATTGAAACACAATTTTCCTCCACAGAACCTACAAACATGTTGGACATGAAGGCCATTATATGGCTGGAGTCCTACCTGCAGGTGAGAGGGTTAATATTTGAATAGTTGTTGATGGTAGACAACTAAATGGTTCTAACAAAACATATAAAACAATGATTCCCATTTAGATAAGACCCGCTGTCCCATTTTATTTTTTTAATGTCTTCATGGACACCATACTTTTTAATACTCATCATCAATCCACAGGTCCTTTACAGAATGTCGCTCACATCATGGCATGTCTGAAGGTCTCTCTGTCTTTTGCCAAATTTCCAGTTTCACATCATGGCATCTGTGTCAGAATTGATTGAAAGTGTATGAGATGGAAGGCTGTTGATAGACATGACTACCAAGGACTATAAGAAGAAAAAGATGCCAAAGTCACTTAAGTGCTAAATTCTTGTTTCATAAAAATTGTGCTTCAACTCTGAGATGAGATGAAAGTGCTAAATTCTTGTTTAAAAAAATTGTGCTTCAACTCTGAGATGAGATGAAAGTGCTAAATTCTTGTTTCGCGAAGATTGTTCTTAAACACTGAAATGAGGTGGAAGTGCTAGAACTTCTTTTTGACCTATTTGATGCAGGAATTCACATGTTTGCCTTTGACAAACAGCCCTGAAAACACACGTAAGTTAAATTCACCAAAATACTGCTTTTGGGTGACTGGCTTAGTGCCGAGGATATGATCATAATTCAGGACACATCAACTTGGATTAGATCGAGGCTGGTAATGTTTTCCTTGTGTGTTTTATCTACTTTGTTGTTCACCAACATCAGAGGGAATAAGTGACCTGTGAGTAAAACACTTGGAAAAACAAACACTGGTTTTAATCATGAGAAAGATTTCCTCAGACACGTAGAATAGACCTAATCACCATCGCTCACTTACTTACTGGACACTGTAGGCTCAGAAAACACTCACATAAATTAGTTACGAGGCAGACAACGCTCTTACCAGTCTTTATGCTGAATAGACTCCAGAACATGTCTTGCAAGACTGTCTTCTTTTGGGGGGAGCTGCAAAACTGCATGTGGCCACACCCTTTAGATTTAACAACTAAGCTTTAGGAAAAACTGTTAGACCTAAAAATTTACATCCCAGTTTATTGTCCATAGAGGATTGAGCGCAATGACCAGAGATTGCTGAAGAAGAAGAGTAATTTTTTAATCATTTTTGTTTTCCTTTTCTTCTTCTTAGAACTGGCCAACGACCATCTTGGTGGTATCCCACGACAGATTGTTTTTGGACGCAGTCTCCACCGACATCATCCATCTGCAGTCATGTAAACTGGACAGTTACCGTGGCAACTATGAGATCTTCTTTAAAACAAGAGAGGAGAGACTGAAGAATCAGAGGAAGGAATACGAGGCCCAGAAACAATACAGAGACCATATCCAGGTCAGTGCCAGTTATAGAATACACCATTGATCCTTATTTTATGTTGTGTTATTTTATTGCTATTAATATCGTTATGTTATGTTATGTTATTGCTAAAATATATTGTTATGTTATTACCTTCGATGTTATTAATTTTTACAAATGTCGAGAACCCTTACCTGAAGAGAATGATGCAGTAGGGAGTGTCTGCTAGGTGCCACTTGTTGGGCGTGGGGAGGGAGGCCTGAGAAGTTGTTAACCAGATGACAATGGGTACCATATCATCAATGTGGGGCTCTTTGCTGGCTGTTGAAGAGGGAGACGGAGCTAATATGGTCTTGTCCTGAGTGCTGTGATGTTGAATCTTTACTCAGAAAAACCCAGATGTTATTTTCAGTATTATTATATTATGTTATTACTGTTGACATTGGTATGTTATTGAAGGTATTGCTGTGTTAATCTTTTTTCTCCATCAGTATTGCTATGTTATTACTATCAGTATTGTTGTGTAATTACTGTTGATGTAGGAATTGAAATTCTATGATTTGCTATGTAGTAGGCACCTGCTGCCTGTAAAGACATCAAAACTTCAGGAACATGTGGATTTGCTAGGGTAAGAGTAGCAGCCCCTTGGGGAGGCATTCAATCTGTGGAAACTTGTTTTGATTTAATGTTAGGTCATGCAGAAAAGAGTGAGCTGACTGTCCTGCTAGCGTCAAATTGACTACCATGGAACAAGAAAGATGGACGACAGAATTTACCGAAGGCAGTAAATCCTTAGACAGCTTGATATATATGGGGACGCATCACTGTCTTCCTAATTACAGCTGTCTGATGCTGTTGGAGTGAGGAATTTTCCCATGTGGTTTCTGGTGCCCCTTTTTGGAAGGATAAAGAAAAGACTCACTGCCTCTCTAACAAGCATGTTGTAAAAGGTGACTAAGGGTATTTCCTTTGAAGTCAGAGTGCAGATAAACCAGATCTGTAAAACAGATGTACCTACAAAACTCAAGTTCTTGAACAAGACTAAAGCCAAGAAGTGGACAAACAACCAGAACTTTCCACTCATTTTACAGCTAGTGAACGCTAAGAAGAAGAGGGAGGAATCCAGTATGTACTGGTTGCTGTGTTCTCAGGTGAGGACACTTCTGACTTGTAGCTTATCACCTGGCAAGAGGGGAAATCACTCTTTCAAAATCATACTTTTTCTCTACCTTTGTTCTATTGTTTTATTTAGTCAGTATGCTCTTAGGCATTATGTTAATTGATATTTTCTTGGTTAGTTGTTCATCGATAGATTCCGTTACAACGCTAACAGAGCTGCGCAAGTACAAAGTAAGATCAAGTTACTGGAGAAATTGTAAGTGATCATCTACTTTCAAATTTGTGTTTGTTGTGGTTTCATTATTTTATTTCCTTAATTATCATTTATATTTGACCTTGTTTGCCTAATCCAAACGCTTTGAGAAAAGCTGACATAGCAGTTTATCACAAAAGAAAGAGGCAGTCAACATTTTTTGCCAGATTATGAGAAGAGAAAAACAAGAACATATTGTAACATCTAGAAAGATTTTTTCAACAACAGCAACAACAAAATTAAAGATAACAATGAGACAAGATTCTTTACAGCATTGTGTTATGCCTCGCGTTCTTCAATTAGGTCTCAGTTTAGTATATTTAGTTTACTTGATGCTTATCCGAATAGTAAACATTTAGATGATGATGTCGATTTTGAATGTGGTGTGGATGTGGATTCCTAGAAGTGATACAATGAGAAGATAAGTGTCAGTTTTGTGACAGTCGGGAGAAATTAAATCTGTGATAGACCACCATGACGTTTATCATGTCCAAAATACCTCAGCTTCGGGGACAGGATGCTGTTTATGAGCCAGTTCTCCTTGATGCTCAGATCATATAGGATGTCTGTGATTTTCTTCTTCTTGAAAATACCTGGTAGCAGTATAACTAAATGTCTTTACACTAGAACCCACAGCGTCAGAGGAACAAAAGCAGACCAAAAACACACAGAGCAATAAACTAGAGAGAGAAATGAAAAAGATGGCGTGAGCTGCGTGCGATGGTAAAACATAAGACTTAGCGAGAGTTGGTCGAGAGCCTGCGTTCTGTTGGAGGTCAAGAAGTTCCTGTCACATTTTTTTCTCAAGTATCTTATTAGTATCCATGGAAGTGGGATGTCTGAGAAGGGCTTTAGGAACGACCAGAAGAGATAAAATCAGAAATAAGGTCATAAGAGAGGAAAAATCAGCACAGAATCAATTCTAAAATGATAGCAAATCAAATGGTTTGTCCACTTAGAGAGAATGTCTTGTGACGCCATACTATACAAGGTATGCACTAAAAGTAAAAGATATAGAGTACAAGTTAGACAAAGAACTAAATGGAAAGATAACATCAGGGAAACTGTACAACTGCACAATGTGTCTATGGTCGAGGCGGTCATAAGTGCAAGAAGCAGAGCCTCATATCTCCCTTGACACCCAAAGCAAGAAAGAGGTGAAAAAGAAGAAAAATGAGATCTCTACCATCTTCCGTTTGCATGGGTGTTGTGAAAATCTGAACTAATCACGTTTCTTAAATTCTTCAAAGCTCATATTCATAGTTTTCCTCTGAAAATTTCACATGAGACTTTGAATTTACTAGTTTGACATGTTTTATGTTTTTAAATGCTATGTTTTTCCTGAATTTCAGGCCAAAGATGGAGCCACCAGAGAAGGATGTTGAAGTTGTATTGAGGTAATTTTATGTGTACTGTAGGTGTGTATGAACAGTAAAAGTGCACTGTTTAACACAGTATACCAATGCTATGCTGTCAGTGTCAAACATGGACACTGTCTTCAAAAGGCAGATTAAAAATAGTAATGACAGAAATAACATGTTTGTGTATTATGCTAGATGTAACAAGGTTAAATCGACTTAGGAACAGTTTGAGGTTTGAACAACGGATCAACATCATGGCACACGGGTAGTAACCTATAAGTACTCCGTTCTTCTTCTAGCTCAAGTCTGAGTCCAAAGAAGCTCAGCACAGTGCACAGGCTCTGTAGCAACGGTGAGGATCCTAAAATAATTTGGGTAGATTTTAAACTCCAAATTTTTGCCCAGGCAGCGCTGTTAGGCTACTCTTTTTGATTTCCAACTGCCAAGGGATTTTGTATGTGCGCAGATATGCACACAGGCGTCCGATCTAACTACCTAGAGACCAGGGGGAATTGCTAGAGGTTCAAGTCCACGTTAACAAATCCCAGCCCTTACCAGGGATTAAACCTGGAACCTCTAGCACTCAAGGTGGACACCATGCCTTGAGACCACGCAGCCTCTCTTAGGAACTGTGATATCAGGACATGTCCTCCCCATCTTTCTAACTTCATTCTCCATCTCTCTTCTCCATGTGTTTTTTTTTTTTTTTTTTTTTGCCTTCCTTTATTCCCTTGCAAAGACATTCTAGTTATACTGTTCTCCTGTTTTCTCCTGTCCTATCCAACGCCCACGTCTTTTCCTCACCTCTTGGTCCACTGGAGCCTATTTAGTTCTCTCCCAAAGCTCTACATTCGTTATTCCATCATACAATTTAATTCCTTCTATTCTGCGCAGGCACCAGTTAATGAATGTTTGTAGTTTATTAGTAATTGCCTTAGTTGTTCTCCATGTTTCCGCCCCATATAAAAGTACTGATTTGACATTAGAATTAAACATTTTTAGTTTAGTATTTCTTTTAATTTCTTTTGACCTCCACAAATTCCCTAGTACTATGAAAGCTCCTCTTGCCTTTTGTATTCTTATTTTAATATCTCTATCAGTTCCTCCATCTTTATCTACATTACTGCCCAAATAGGTGTTTGACTCCACGTCTTGGAGTGGGGTGCCATTAAGAGAAACCACATTACTATTTGCCTGATTTATTCTCATTATCTTTGTCTTTCCTTTATGGATTTTCAGACCATGCTGCTGTGATCTCGCATCTAGTATATTTAATTTATCTTGTATCTGATTCCATGAATGGGACAGAAGAGAAATATCATCAGCGAAGTCCAGATCATCAAGCTGTTTTGTAGGGGTCCACTGAATTCCATTCTTGGCATTTACTGTTTTCATAATCCAGTCTATAGCCAGTAAAAATAAGAGAGACAACAAAAGACATCACTGTCGCACACCTGTTTTTATTTCAAATGTATCTGTTAGCTTTCCTTCATGGAGAACTTGACCTTTCATGTCTTTATATGTTGCCTTTACTAAGTTGATAATTTTCTGTGGGATTCCATAGTGCGCCATCAATTTCCAGAGAGATTCCCTATCAATGCTGTCAAATGTTTTTTCATAGTCTATAAATCCAATGTAAAGTGGTAAGTTCAGTTCAATGCTTTGCTCTGTTATAATACGTAATGTGGCTATCTGATCAGTACAGGATCTGTTTGACCGAAAACCTGCCTGTTCATCTCTTAGCTTTTTATCAATAGCATCTTTTTAATTTTTCCAAAATAATTCTACTTAATATTTTTCCAGGAACTGACAGCGACATAATTCCTCTATAGTTTTCACACTCCTGTTGATCACCTTTTTTGGGCAGTTTCACAAGATATCCTTCTCTCCAGGCTGCTGGTATTTCTTCGGTCTCCCAGACTTTACTGAATAATCTGTGTAGCAATTCTGTTGATGTGATTATGTTGGTCCTGATGGCTTCAGCTGGGATACCATCTGGGCCTGCCACCTTTCCTTCCTTGAAAAGATTGATAGCTTTTCTAATTTCCTGTTTGGATGGTAGTAAAGTCTGCCTCTACCCCCTTTTTCCACGGATTTTTCCAGTTGTCACGATGTTCTTCAATGTCTCTCTTCTCATTATGTGGCCAAAGAACAGTGTTTGTCTCTTTCTTATTGTTGTATATAAAGATCTACTTTCATTAGCTTCTTTCAAGCAGTCTTTGTTAGTTACTCTGGCCATCCAAGGTATTCTTAACATTTGTCTTAGAAACCACATCTGTGTTGCTTCCAAATTCTTATTTGTTCATTGACACTCCAAGATTCGCTGCCATACAGCAGAACAGGTTCTGTGTTAACGTGTTCACACCCTGTTTGTGCTACCATACATTTATTCATGTACTGTGCGGATGAAGGCTGGCTAGCCACAGCGTTTACCTGTCACTTTTGTTTGTGATAATTTAAAGCTGACTGGTTCTACTTTTTGTGTTTGGACTGATATCTTTTCTTGAGTGATCAGCGTTTGCTGAGCATCTGTCCCATCATGGGTCACAAACAGGGTGGTCCACTAGAGATCTCCTCCAGTCTTCTACAGTTTCTCAAAGATGCTCCTGTAGGCCACATTCTCTCTCTCTCTCTCTCTCTCTCTCTCTCTCTCTCTCTCTCTCTCTCTCTCTCTCTCTCTCTCTCTCTCTCTCTCTCTCTCTCTCTCTCTCTCTCTCTCTCTCTCTCTCTCTCTCTCTCTCTCTGTCTCTTTCACTCTGACAAAATCTTGGCAGTCCTGTAAGGTGTGCCATAGCATTAGATTCGGTACTCCACATCTGCAAGAGGCAGATTCAATGAGAGCAGCCTAGTAAAGGTTGGCTCTTAGTTTACAGTGTCCTCTTCTGTGCATGAAAATTCTGTGGATGAACATTGAAATCAGACTAAATCTGACTAGCTCACATTCTAGAAGCTCAAGACAAGTTGCAATAGAATTTACCAAAATGTATATAATAAATATATTTATTAATGGTACATTCTTGTTTCTTCTTTGGTTGGTTAGATTTACTGAGTGTGATAAGCTGTCACCCCCAATCCTCCAGCTTGATGATGTGACTTTCTTCTACACAAAGGAAAAGATTTTGTTCAACAAAGTTTGTGTCAATGCCAATATGGACTCCAGGATATGTATAGTAAGTGTTGGATAATTACTTTTCTGTTGAAAAATCACTTTTTTTTTTCTTCTTCTTCGTGTTTACCGGCTGCTCCGACGATAAGTTCTAATTATTCGTCCACTTCTGGACTCTAGTACTGTTCCAGAAATTGAGTGTTGTGTGCACATTTGTTTCATATGTCTGACTCATTCGCATGCAGACTGTTGGTTCCTTGTCTCAGGCAGATGTACTCTGACTTTGAAGGAACCTCCCAATTAGTGGACTCTTACGACATACCTTTGGGCAGGCAGTGGGTCTTTTCTTGTTTTCTCCATAATGGGGTCCCGGAACCCACACGGGGAGGTTTATAATATACTGGTCTGTTAATAAATTCTTTTTCTCCTTCATTTGTCCTCAGAATAAGTTTATTTTCTGTCAATAAGTCATTTTTTTATGTCAGCTATCAGTTGTGGTTACAACTTCAAACAGGTTCCCCAATAATTGCTTTGTTCCTCTGCTCACCGAAAGCACACAAAATGCCTGTAATTGTGAAAGGTCAAACAGGCAGCGGTCCGGCAAAATCCAACAGTTGACACACATTAAACGCATAAAACAGCCATCAAATATGCCAACACCAATAGCCTGTCACTAGAATTGCAGTTCATCATTGATTTGTATGTATAGGCCTTTAAATGTATTTGATCACTAGTGTCTCAGATCAGATCTGTGTTACTGTCTCAATTGTGTTATGTGTCCTGGCCTTTCTTTGTTTTGTCATTGCTCGTTTCTCATCAGGTTTGCCAGTTGTCACTTACTTTTTTTATCTTCTCATAAATCATCATTAGACTACTCGTAGCAACACTTGAAAGCTGGAAAATCCCTGGAATAACAACTTGGGCATTCATAGCCTTTAAAAACTCTGGGAAACCCCTTGAAAAAAAAATTGATGAATGTGGCTAAAACCCTGCTACCTGCTTCTTCTTCTTCTTCCTTTGTGTTTGCCTTTGAAAGGTCAGTCTGCATATTATGTTGCGGTTTACATCTAGGCTGCAATATCTTTGCCTTTCAGCCTAAAACAAAAGATTATAGAAAATTCCACCTTCTGAAACAGGCTTGTTAGGGGGCAGTGTTTTTTTTTTTGTTCTCTCTTTTCTCTCTCCCCCCCCCCCCCCCACCCCATCCCCCACACACACAGAGAAAATGGGACCCTGGAACTGATGGAAGACTACCTGCAGGCAGAGTAGCAGGCGTTGTTTTCTTCCATCTGATCCCTGTTAACCTGTTCCGATAGAACATGACCTCACTGCGACCCAACCCCTGACACACTACCCAATAGAACATAATCTCACTGCGACCCAACACACTACCCGATAGAACATGACCTCACTGTGACCCAACCCCTGACACACTACCCAATAGAACATGACCTCACTGCGACCCAACACACTACCCGATAGAACATGACCTCACTGTGACCCAACCCCTGACACACTACCCGATAGAACATGACCTCACTGCGACCAACCCCTGACACACTACAGGACAACAGATTTCATGATTTTCCTGTCTACAATTCTCAGGTTGGTGACAACGGAGCAGGAAAAACCACTCTGCTGAAACTGCTACTGGCTGACTTGGAGCCTTGCAGTGGGTTTCGTCACGCCCACAGAAACTTACGGATTGGTTATTTCAGCCAGCATCATGTGGACCAGCTAGACATGAGTGTCAATTCAGTGCAACTCCTGGCCAATAGGTTTCCTGGTGAGTAACTTCATAAACTTTTGTGATTTCATTTGGAAACAAATTTTGGTTGAAAATTGATCTTAGAGAATATTTACTTTGCAGCTGAGCACAGACATCTTTGTTTAAAAATAATAAGTAACTCCTTTAAAAGCGGATACATGAATGGATGACATTTTGATCTGTGTGTCCTGGACAGTCGGTAGGCAGGCCAAACAATTTCTTGAAGCCTCAGAGATTTGGTTTTACAGAACAATGCTTAAAATACCTTGGACAGCAACAACAACAAAAAGCAACCAAGAGGTTTTGAAGAAACGGGAGCACGAAGACAATTTAACACAGACAGCAAAGGGAGACAGTCATCATTTTTCGCCCAAGTTTTGAGAATAGGGAAAATGGAGCATGTTGTTGCATGGCATAGACGTGTCAGCACATGAACTGATACATGCTGCAGGAAATCGCAAATTGAGAAGAGGCATGATCGCCCACCCAGTCAGCAAGGCACTGGGTTTTTAATGTTTAGAAGAAGGGTTGTCAAACTTTCCACTTCCTGGCCTAAAGAATACAATTACCTACTGGTCCCAAATGCTCATCATGGAACCTTTTTTTTTTCTTACCAAAAATCAGACACCATCTTTGGCATTCGGGCCAAATGAGTACAGACTTGTCTAGAAATGCAGACAGTAATCACACAGATGTTAAAACTTTTCCAAAAACGGGTGAATATGGGTATTCATGGATAGCAGAGGAAACTGAATGAGATGGACGAGGAAGAATCCATATTAAATGGATGAATGGCTCCCTGGGTGGGAGGGCCTTTCCCAGTTATAAAGCAGAGGCAATGGTGCTGGAGGAAGCAGTATCCATATTACTCAGTGAATGCAGCTTTGAGTCAAAAGTGGTCATACCTACAGTTGCTCATCCAGCATTGCACACTACAGAGCCATAAGCAACTTCATTGCAACAGTCAGATGAGTCAGCTGCCCATGATGAGAGGAAAGCTCAGTATATGGATTTAAGGTAGAGCAGTTGTGTGCAGGATGTAATGATTCATTAGGTGTGCCCAGGACCAGAGCATCATGTGTTGGCTGTGTATTTATGGAAGCCTCCTGTGATAGCAGGAAATGACCATGATCTCTCCCTCCCTTCCCTTGAGGGCCGACCAGTCTACACATGTTACCCTGGGGGCAACACCTGGAGATGAAGGGACAAAGAACACACTACACAATTAAGGCTACGCCATGTCCCAGAAACCAACCAGGAAAGCTAATCCAGCGAACAAAAAAGGCCTGATGAAGTTGGATCTGTCGGCTGAGAGGCACAGCTATGCTGTAAACAGGCACAACACAATTACGTCACTTGGGCGAACAATGAAGAAGAAGATGGTCAGCTAACCAAGCAGAATGTTCTCTGATGGATCCCAGGCTGCTGCAACACTACAGCAAATGAAAGACTACATAGCAGAAACATTGGAGCAAAATAGAATAGCCAGGTGCACTTATGAGGAAAATAAAAATAAAACCCAAATCAAGGCAGCCATTAAATCCCATGGGAACAGTTCCCATTCTGAACTCATCCTGAAGACCCACTTGGCCTGCTCGCATAATGCAACAGATTTTTTTTTTTTGTATTAAAGACACGAGAATTAAGACACAGTTGACTTTACAGCTATATGTACAAGAAATCCAGCACTGGAGACTCAGAACTTTGCCCAAGGAGACAGTAACCACAGAATACTAAACCTGTGCTGCAGACATGCTTTGTACATTCGTTAGATCAGTTTAGGACACATCGAACCACAACCTTCTTAGAGGTGTTTGGCCTTTTCATATGAAACTGGCAAGGAGATGGAAAAGAAGAAGACTCATTGATTAAGACTGTGTCCTCTCATTGATGTGTTTTTTTGTTCTGTTGTCTGTTTCTAGGCCAGTCACAAGAAGTGTACAGGAACCAGTTAGGTTCCTTTGGTGTATCTGGTGATCTGGCCCTCCGGCCAGTGTCCAGTTTATCAGGAGGTCAGAAAAGCAGGGTGGCTTTCGCAGTGATGAGTATGACTAGGTAAGTAGTATGGGTATTGTCAGACAAATGACCATGTGAGGGGCTAGTGTGTGGGTCTTGTCAGACAGATGACCATGTGAGGGGCTAGTGTGTGGGTCTTGTCAGACAGATGACAAGGTTAGTGGCTAGAGTCATGAGTGTTGTCAGACAGATCACCAGATGAGTGGCTAGTGTGTGGGTGTTGTCATACAGATGAATTGGTGATTGGCCAGTATGTGGGTGTTGTCAGAGAGATGACCAGGTGAGGCACTAGTGTGTGGGTGTTGTCAGAGAGATGACCAGGTGAGGCACTAGTGTGTGGGTGTTGTCAGAGAGATGACCAGGTGAGGCACTAGTGTGTGGGTGTTTTCAGAGAGATGACCAGGTGAGGCACTAGTGTGTGGGTGTTGTCAGAGAGATGACCAGGTGAGGCACTAGTGTGTGGGTGTTGTCAGAGAGATGACCAGGTGAGGCACTAGTGTGTGGGTGTTGTCAGAAAGATGACTCGGTGAATGGCCAGTCAGAGGGGGTTGTCAAACAAAACCTGGGGTGGGAAATGGGTAATAGAAGTAAAGGGCTCATAAAGGACAGTGCCTGTCATAGTAGTGTTTGCATATTGATACCAATATTGAACTACCAGTCCAAAACATGGACATTATTTAAAGCCCATTTATAGAAAATCACCATTTACGAGATGAGATGCTCGAGAAAAGCCACAGGCCTCTCTGATAAGGAGTGAATAATCATACAAACAGATTGTGGGAACGACACCTCATAGAGAAACAGCAGATCAAGTGGTTTGGTCATCTCGTTAAAATGCAGCAACATCAAATATAATCATGGACGCATCTCAGAAAAATGGCTTAAACAGCAAGAGGATGGCCACCAAATATTGATTGACAGCATTAAAGATACTTTACACCTTCCCTGCTTGATGATAGCGAATGGCAGCCAGCATTCACTGGATTGCAAATTATTCCTCTCCACAGTGCTTAATGGCAAAAATGGTTTATGATGATGATTATGTTTATTATTATAGGGATCCGCAGTGAAATGGAGTTGAGTCTCAACGTAGGTCTGTGTTGTTCTCCCGATTTTCTCCTTGTGGCCAAGTCATCCAGTGTTTGTCAGTTATTGGTTGAGACTAATCTCTTATTCACATAGGTATTTGAAAAATTTAGTTGCACATACTTTACAGGACAATGCAAAACTGATCCCAGCATTTTTGACTTTGTGATTTCTAGATAGTTTTGCATTCAGTAGTTTGCCATTTCTTTCTGAGCAGTCGGCTGTTCATACCATTTGTGGAAATCTTCTTTGTTTTCTTCTTCTTCTTCACGTCCACCAGCTGTAAGCTCCGGCAGAAAGTTCTGGTTGTGTCGTCTACTTCTGAACTTAAGTGCACATTATTTTTACTGATCTTGCTTATTTGTGTGCAGACTTTTAATTCCACGTCTCTCAGACTGATGCACTCCGTCTTCGATGGAAAAGCCCCTAATTAGTCAACTTTCGCCGCATACTTGTTAGAGAGGCAGTTGTTAAATCCCCCCTCCCCTTTACACGCACGTGCACACACACACACACAATAGGGCCTTGGAATCCACTCAGAGACTGTTAAAATAAATGCGAGATGATCAGCTGGAATTAAACCGGGTAGTTCGGAATTATGAAGTGCATTCGCAGTGCCTAAGCCACCAACGCTGACTCACATAGAGATGAGAATGTTCAATTTTATGTTCCAATTCTGCATATGTTTTCAGCCCCAACTTCTTCATCCTCGATGAGCCGACCAATCACTTGGACATGGAGACAATTGAAGCTCTTGGCGATGCTCTTAACAAATTTCAGGTTTGTGAACATCATCATCCTCCTGTTTCTGTAGACTTTGAACAATTCATTTGATGGACTGTTCATTTCACATTACTGTTCACTTGGTTTTGATGACTTCACATCATTAACTCATTGAGCAGTGATTTTTACATTATTGAATCACTTGGTTGTTTATTTCTTCTTATTCTTCTTTTTGGTGTTTACCTGCCGTAAACTACAGCAGAAAATTCGGGTTGTTCATCCACTTCTGTGTTCCAGAACTTGAGGTGCTTCACTTTGTTAACTTTACATCAACTAGCCACTTCATTGAATCACTTCAGATCACCAAATCACTTTACATCATTGAATCAAGTCATATTGAGCAACTTCTCTTTGTTCACTTCACAGCGATGAGTTATTTCACTTGGTTCACTTTACGTCATTGAGTCACTTTACTTCACATTATTGAATCACTTCACTTCACATTGTTGAGTCAGCTCAGTTGACATCATTGAGTCACCTCACATCATTGAGTCACTTTATATCACTGTGTCACTTGGTTGTGTTTACTTCATATATTTGAGTTACTTTGTTAATTACTTTATATCAGTAAGCTACTTGACTGTTGACTTTACTTCACTCTCAAGGGACTTCATCACTTTAGTGCCATTGAATCACTTGACTTTGTTTGCCTGAACGCCACATTTATGTTTTTTCAGGGTGGAGTTATTCTAGTTTCCCACGATGAGCGCTTGATTCGAAATATCTGCAAGGAACTGTGGGTAGTCTCCGGCGGCAAAGTGACGTCCCTAGAAGGAGGAATCGACGAATACAAGCGGCTGGTCTTGATGGAGCTTGAGTCACATTGATGAGAGCCCGCTTGCTTTAGCGTTTTGTGATGTCTTTGTACAGGTTAACTGTGACCAATACTACGGAATGCATTTGTTTATTCTTGTCACAGGCATTTGGTATATTGCCTAAGGAATACCAGAGATGGCTAAGTGATGTCTGATTTCATTGGGGCTAGAGTACAGGTCTGTGAAAGTGGACATGTGTAACTTTACTAGATTTTGAGCTGTAATTGTAATGGCTTAGGCAATCTTCTGCAAATTCTCCCATAGTTTAAAGGTTTTAAATATGTTATAGGTATACAGAATAGGTATACAACATGTAATAGGTATACAAACTTTAACAGATTTTAAAAATGTTATAAGTTTATAAATGTTTATAGGTATAAAAAATTTAATAAGTATAAAAAATGTTTTAAGTACATTTCACCATCTCACACAATCAGAAACACAGATCAAGTCACTGTTCTTGTCTTGCCCAATTCCTGTGCCTAATCCATCTAGGTATTCGTATCTTTGCTCTCCCCTTGTTGTCTTTTTTTTTTTTTTTCAGTAATCTTGCCAGCTATTAGCAAGTCCTATAAGTTGTGAAATCATGACTTTTCATGGCATTTTGAAGAAAGTAGCTTGGCGTTGCTTCTTTCTTGTAAGTGACCATACATGTTGGTTGACCATAGCCATTGTCACTTTAGTTTGATCGTCTTCCTAATGTCGAGGACCTTGAGATCTTGTGAACTACTCTGTCTCAGTACTGTGAGATCACCTTTCACTTTTATAGAACTTGGGAGAATATTTGGTTTCTCTTTTGTCTGAGAAGTCTAGTCCACACTACCCCACAGTCAATGGGGACTGTACCAGTTGTAGTTATAATGTGTAAAAGCCACTTGGGTGTACCACACTAAGCCTGCTCAAGTGGGAGGCAGGCATTATACCTCTGGACCAGCTATTTCTGGAATGTTCATCTTAATAAGCTAAAACCAAACCCTAGAAGCAAAACATTTTATTTTTCTAAGCAGCCCATCTCTTTAATTTGTATCAGAAGTTGAAATTAATCACAGAAATTCTATGGTGGATTCTTCAAAGTCAGTCCATGTTTATGTTACAACCTGAAATAAAATCATAGAAGCGTAGAGTTGATTCTTAGGAATATTGTATTTTGTTTCATCTTGATAGGTTCGGTCAATAAAATGAACAAATGTTTACTATCAGAGTCATTTTGTCCTTTGTGAACCTCAGGGCATGGGTGATGGTTTTCTTTGTATTTGTGCTATGTAGTGGGACTGGCCAGCAGGTGTTGCGGGGTCAAATTCAACAGCTGATTCATAACTAGTCCAGCCTAGCTGATGCAGCAAAACCTAGCATGTGATATAACAACATCTAGTTTGAGAATGCAGGTGGAAGCAGTTACTGCAGACTTCTGTTGGCTTGAGAACCGGTTGCACACACATGTTATTGTAACATCACAAAACATGTTGAGACAGTTATGCTTTGTGCAGAGTGGCAGGCATCACTTTAAAGATATTAGTGTAATTTGAATATTTTTTTCAGGTATGCAGGTGTGTTGAGGAAGGAACAGGCAGACAGATTGTCTGATTTACCATCTGGTGGTAAACTGAAGCATGACAAGCTAGATGTTGTCAAAATCCCTTGGGAGCAAGTAAACATTGTGAAGACACAAAAAAGAATAATGCATCGGGGAGTGACCAGAGGCTCTGACTGACACTCGGGCAAAAGGCAAGACAGTCGTACAATCATACTGGTATTGCCAGTCGCAGACCAAAATGAGAAAGGAGGAGATTAAAGAAGTGAAGATGTCCAAAAGAAACCTCAAAATGAATGTTGATGAGGGAGGCCAAGGGTACTGGACTTGATTCATCCATAATATTAAAGCAATTGCTCAGGTTAAAATGGAATAGAAGAACAAATTGCTCAACCACACCCTCCTCACCGCCTAGGCAAAAATTGGGTCAGGGTTCAGACCCTCCACCGCTCCTTTTTCCATGTAAAAAAACGTGAAACCTGCAACCATGCCTCTTCCCCCACCCCTTCCCCCAAAAACCTTACCTATTTCCTAGGCAATTGGGTGGGGGGGGGGGGGGGGGGGGGGGGGGGGGGGGGGGGGGGGGGGGGGTCCAGTTCTTTGAGTGCCCTCACTCCAAAAACATTAAGCTGAGACACCGACCAAGTATTTTTGTAAAGGGGCCAAGATGCCCCCTTTAACCATGTATATCCTCTTTTTTTTTTTTTTTTGGCTTCATGTTTACAGGCTTGAATGCTGTTGGTAAGCTCTAGCTGTTCGCCCGCTTCTGTACTTTAGATTTATTTTAGAACTTGACTTTTGCATGCACATCTGTTTTACTAATTTGGCTTATTTCAAATGCACACTGCTGGTTCCTTGTCTGCCATGCATATGCACTCTGATTTCAGAGGACATCTTTAATTAGACTCTTAAGACATGCTTTGGAACTGGAACTCTTCGCTTGCTGCTGAAGATGGGGATGAAGCACTAACAGAAGTGTCGTGAGTGCTGGGATGTCGCTTCTTAATTTGACATTCATTATTAGGAAGACCGTGGGTCAACAACCCCCCCCCCCCCCCCCCCCCACATGCTAAGGAATCCACACGGGGAAGACATGCACAGTATATAAATGATCTCTTTAAGTATTTGTTCATGTTACAAGGTTTCTCTTTTAAAACAGTCGGCGTCTGTTGTTTAGGTGTTGCGAATGCAGCTTGTAATGCTGGGTTCAATCCCAGCTGCATGCCTTGCGTTGGTTTCGACAGTGGTATCGAGAAGCCAGCCGTCCAGAAAGTAATGGCAAACTACTGAACGTAAATTTGCCTAGAAAAACCACGACAGCCAAAAAATGATGGGGTTGGTTCTACAATGTCCTGTAAAGGATACGCAACTAGCTTTTAACTGGGAAGGGGGGGGCTGAGCACTCAGGTACTGGCTCCTATTTGAACAACTATCCACATTTCTTTCTCTGATCACTCCTGACCTCAACCACTGGTGCTTCTAGCCTGGCTTGCTAACGGTTTTTCTGTGACAAACTAATGCACGACGGTATACCGGTAATTAAGAAATTATGTCAACGCGGATTATTCTAGTTGAAGTCATTTCAAGTCATGTGTTTTCGCAGGGAAATATATAATTCTGATCGCCTCCCCTTTCCTTAAAAGGATTGGGCGAGGGTACTTCAAGGGACCTTCAGGTACCGGCTGTTCAACAGGGGGCCGGCGGGCTAAACCTGGCCCGCGGAGACATAGCAAGTATCCCGCGCTTCACTGACAGCTGCATTGTATTAATGATCTTTCTATGCTGGGGCTTAGGCTGCTGGCCCGTGAGTAGCCTCATTTTCAAATGTTGGCCCTTGAGTAAACTATGTCGAATATCGCTGCCGTGTAGCCATATAGGCCTACGTCATATAGCAGTAACGGGGAATCGTCAAATGTTATGTATACTCAGTCCTGCTATATGGTGCAGAAACTTTGACAACGACCAAGCAACTAGAAAATTGAATTGAGTCTGGAGATTTGGGTATATAGAAGAATAGGTCATATTTTTATTTGGGGGGTGGGGGGACAGTCCAATACAGAGGTTCTGGAAAGGCTACAAATGAAAAGAGAATTACTGAAAGATTTTTTTTTAGAGAGAGAGAGACAATTGAAATACTTTGGCCATATTAAAAGACACACTAACATACTTTTAAAAACCTTACTGGAGGGAAAGGTCGAAGACGAGAGAGTAAGAGGTAAGCAACGATACAAATAATGAAAGAAAGGGCAACTTAAAAATGTTGATGGGTGACTTGAATGCTAAGATAGGATCAGACAACACAGGTTATGAAGAAATTATGGGGAGACATGGTCTAGGAGTAATGAATGAAAATGGAGAATTGTTCACAAATTGCAGGTAACCAGTATGTTATTGGTGGAAGTATTTTTCCCCATAAAAGAATACACAAGGCAACATGGGAATCACCAGACCATAAGACAACTAATCAAATTGACCACATATGTATTAACAAAAAGTTTAGATCATCCCTTTACGATGTTAGGGCTTTCAGAGGTGCCGATGTATTTACTGACCATTTCCTGGTGATAAGTAAAATCAAGTTGAAACTAAAAAGATATATAACATCTTATAATCATAGAAACCAATATAATGTAGGCTTTCTCAGAGATAAAGAAATTAAGGAACAGTTCTCAGTTACGGTCTCTAATAAGTACCAGGTGTTGCAGCAGTTAGCTGAAGATGTCAACACAGAAGTCTGCTGGGATCAGATCAAAGGAATCTGGAATGAATCTTGCGTAGAAGTTCTTGGCAAGAAAGAAAGGAAACATAAAGCATGGATAATACCAGGAACCATTAAACTGATTGAAGATAGGAAAAGTAAAAAGGCAGAATTAAACAATAGCAAAACTAGAGCTGCTAAAGCTAGAGCTCAGGAGAATTACACAGAAGCCAACAAGGAAGTTAGGAGGCATATAAGGGCAGATAAAGTGAAATATCTAAATGATCTAGCACAAGAAGCGGAGACAGCAGCAGCAAAAGGAAACCTCAGAGAACTTCACAGTAACACAAGAAAATTAGTAGGTAAATATAGTCAGCCAACTGGATCAATCAAAAATATTCAAGGAAAGGTACTTACTAACACTAAAGATCAAATGGACAGATGGGTTGAATATTTTTAAATGCTTCTAAATAGACCAGGCCCAGATGTTCCCCCAGATATCCAGCCTTTAGAAATGGAACTGGATATCAACTGTGAGATACCATCCAAAGAGGTAATTAGAAAAGCTATAAATCTTAAGGAAGGAAAGGCGTCAGGCCCAGATGGTATCCCAGCTGAAGCCATCAGGACCAACATAATCACATCAACAGAATTGCTACATAGATTATTCAGTAAAGTCTAGGAGACCGAAGAAATACCAGCAGACTGGAGAGAAGGATATCTTGTGAAACTGCCCAAAAATGGTGATCTACAGGAGTGTGAAAACTATAGAGGAATTGTGTTGCTGTCAGTTCCTGGAAAAATATTAAGTAGAATTATTTTGGAAAGATTAAAAGATGCTATTGATAAAATGCTAAGAGATGAGCAGGCAGGTTTTCGGTCAAACAGATCCTGTACTGATCAGATAGCCACATTACGTATTATAATAGAGCAAAGCATTGAACTGAACTTACCACTTTACATTGGATTTATAGACTATGAAAAGCATTTAACAGCATTGATAGGGAATCTCTCTGGAAATTGATGGGGCACTATGGAATCCCTCAGAAAATTATCAACTTAGTAAAGGCAAAATATAAAGACATGAAATGTCGAGTTCTTCATGAGGGAAAGCTAACAGATGCATTTGAAATAAAAACAGGTGTGCGACAGGGATGTCTTTTGTCGCCTCTCTTATTTTTACTGGCTATAGACTGGACTATGAAAACAGTAACTGCTAACACCAAGAATGGAATTCAGTGGACCCCTACAAAACAGCTTGATGATCTGGACTTCGCTGATGATATTGCTCTTCTGTCCCATTCACGGAATCAGATACAAGATAAATTAAATATACTTAATGCGAGATCACAGCAGCTTGGTCTGAAAATCCATAAAGGAAAGACAAAGATAATGAGAATAAATCAGGCAAATAGTAATGTGGTTTCTCTTAATGGCACCCCACTTCAAGACGTGGAGTCGTACACCTATTTAGGCAGTAATATAGATAAAGATGGAGGAACTAATAGAGCAATTAAAATAAGAATACAAAAGGCAAGAGGGGCTTTCATAGTACTAGGGAATTTGTGGAGGTCAAAAGAAATTAAAAGAAATACTAAACTACAAATTTTTAATTCTAATGTCAAATCAGTACTATTGTATTGGGCGGAAACATGGAGAACAACCAAGACAATTACTAATAAATTACAGACATTCATTAACTGGTGCCTGGGCAGAATAGAGGGAATAAAATGGTATGATAGAATAACTAATGTAGAACTTTGGGAGAGAACTAAACAGGCTCCAGTGGATCAGGAGGTGAGGAATAGACGCTGGCGTTGGATAGGGCACACACTGAGAAAACAGGAGAACAGCATAACTAGAATGTCTTTGCATTGGAACCCACAGGGGCATAGGAATAAAGGAAGGCCAAAAAACATATGGAGAAGAGAGCTGGAGAATGAGGTTTGAAAAATTAGGAGGACATGGGGAGAGCTCCATGCAATGGCGAAGGATAGAACGACTTGGTGTGAGTTGGTTGAGGGCCTATGCTCCATTGGTGGATAGAAAGGCAGAAGAATAACGATATAAGTGGGAGAACAACATCAAGAGATGAATGAACAGCATTTTGAGAGAGTTTGCAACCAGGACAATAGATACAGCGTCTTGGATATCCATTGCAGCCAACCTTCACCGTGGAGACGGCACTTTATTTATTGATTGATATGGCAGTTAAATTGGGTACCAAAAAACGCGCCCTTACCCATATAGAAAACTACTAGACGTAAATTTGCCTAGAAAAACCACACAACAGCTTGGGGTTGGTTCTGCAACGTCCTTTAAAGGATACGCAACTAACCTAACCTATATAGAACTGGCTGGTGTTGTCGCTGTGGGTCCCCAAATTTTAACTTCTCTGAAGGCTGGATCTGAATTGTTTCTTCTTTTTAAATTTCTGGATGATATATAGTACCCCTCAGAGCATAAAGAGGGCAGTGCGACAAGGATGTATATTATAACCTGGTTGGTTTTAATTACACAGGGAATATATAATGAGATATATCATGGATATGCCACAAATTGTGGTTGGTGGTCATAACATAAACAACCTGCGTTATGCTGATGACGCCGTCTTGATATCAACAGTTCAACAATAACAAGAATTAATAGATACGGTGGTGGTAGAAAGTGATCTAATGGGCTCAGTCTGAATAATGTAAGGACATAAGTAATTGTGATTTCAAAAAAAAAAAAAAAATAATGCCTAAATGTATAATAAAAGTCAAAAGCGTCATTTTAGAACAAGTGCAGAAATTTAGGTATCTGGGCACATGGATAACTTTCGATGGAGGATGAATCACAAATATAAAGAACAGAATGGGATAGGCTAAAACAGTCTTTTATGAAAGAAACATTTTATGCAATAAATCTATGTCATTTAAGGCTAGGGAAAGAATTATCGTGTGTTAAATAGGTTCAGTTTTAACGTATGGCTGTGAATCCTGGACACTTAATAAACAGGCCGAACAATATCTTGAGGTCTCGGAGATGTTCTTTTAGAGAAGAATCATTAGAATTCCGTGGACAGCTAAGAAGAGTAGCCCAAACGTTTTGAAAAAGGCAGGTGCTCGAAGACGAAAAACATTAGAAAGAGACAGTCATCATTTTTTGGTCATGTTATGAGAAGAGGGGAAATGGAGCATGTTGTAACAACTGGAAAGATTTATGGAAAGAGAGACAGATGAAGACAGCCCGAGAACATTCTTGACAATTTTTTGTCATGCCATGGAGGGCTGTCAGCACACGAACTGGTTCACCCAGCTGCGGATCGCAGATCGTGGAGAGGCATGATCACCCACTCCAGTCGGCAGGACTCTTTATGATTATATAGTATCCCGGAGCGGACAAACCGATCGATCCATCGAACCGCAAAAGAAAATGATTAGGATGGTTTAGCGTGGTTGGGTTGTTGTAGTGGTGATGATGATTATGGTGATAGCTGTAGTGGAGATGATGGTCATAGAGATTGTTGCATTGACGGTTGTGGTGATGACAGCTCTGCAAACATCAACACAACGGAAATGACCCCTGAACTGTCACTTGGCTCTCACTTCTGTTGTCATGAAAAACAAACAAAATGGAGGCATTTCAATGCCTTCGTGTCGTCCTAAGGAGGACTTCTAGATAACAATTGAAAAGCATTATCCTTGGCGAAATTTGTTTCATTTTGACTGTTTTCTATCATCATGTGCGTAAGAGATGCCTACGATTAATCCCCAGCTGAAAATTTCAGCAAGCTGTAAGCGGGATTTATCAGCAAATCGCAATGAAGCGTATGATGAAGAAAAGTCAGATGTGATAAATGAAAGAGATGATAAAATTGCCGGCAACAATATCAGCAGCATCAATAAAGATAGTACTCTCATTCGAAATATGCAGTACGACGATTACTTGCGGCGTAAAGTATCTGAGTTACATAGTCATATAAGCAGCAGTCATGTACAGCGAAATGCATCAGATACATCCTTGTTGTGGGCGGTCCGGGAGGACGATGAGATAATAAAAGAAGACAGTGAAAGGGTATCGAACAACGAATTGGATCTTTTTAGTGACAACACGTCAGATCAGGTTGTAGATCCGTCAGTAGTCCCGGGTAACCTTCGAAATGCAAGGGCAAGGTCGGCTTATCAAATTATGAAAGAGTATTTAAGTCAAGGTTGTGTTGAATCAACACATGAAAACAGTGGCAAGAAAGTAGGATCCCAAGAGAACAGTGGTGGAGGAGTTACACATTTTCTTCAAGTTTCACAGATCAAGGCAAAGAAAAAACCCACAATATGTATGTATCAGAACCAATTCTTTTTCTCCTCCCCCTAGTCTACATCCACCCTCATCTTCTTTCTTCTCATTTTTATTCTGATTTTTGTCCCCCTCATTCTTATTCTCCATTATGCCTAATTTCTTCTTCTTATTATTTTATTCTGGTTTTTTTTTTTTTTTAGTATTTTTTCTTTTAGTATGTATTCAAAGTCATAACTGTCTGAATGCTGGAATTGGACCTAGGATGGTAATTTTTTCTTTGCAGTTTCTTAGGTATTTCATTTTTAACAAACTCCCAACCATTGCCCAGCAGAAATGTTGAAAACTTAAGCAGACCATTCTTTGGCTCTCCTGGCAATAACGGTCGCTACTAGGACGGCGGCGGCCGCTTAGTCGGAGTTCAGTCCCCTGGCTGCAGTGCAATTACGGAGTGGAAAAGAGGGAACAACACAAATGACATAATTAGGGGTAGGGTTAGGGTTTGGGTTAGGGTAATGGTTAGGCTAATGTGAGTCGCAGCGTGTGGTCTAGACACTATGTTGAACTCACTGTGTTTTGTGATTCGTGCCTTGTCCACTCTGTAATTGCACTGCAGCCAGGGGACTGAACTCTGACTAAGCAGCCGTCCAAGTAGCGACCGTTATTGCAAGGAGAACCCATTCTTTTATGAATATAACTAAGAACTAAATTGCCAGCAGCTGTCACGATCCGATAACTTTGATCCATATTATAAATTAAAGATGAACTTTGACGCATATTATAAATTAAAGGTGTACGCATGATTATAAATGAAAAAATTTTGTGATTACTTTTGTGTTTTTATTTTCAGCTACACCTTCAGAACAACAGATAGACAAACAGAAAGAGAGAATAAATTCAACTGTGATGGATAACACATCAAAACCATCTAATATTTATTCAAAATCTCTTTACAGCAGGAAATTGGGCCTTTTATGCCCTGCTATTGAAGATTGTGTTCCTCTCTTCAAGGGTTTTCGCATCCAGGGTAAAGTCAAAAGTGACCTCAGTATAAATATAGCACCATATCCGCTGAAACCTTCTAAAGATCACCTTTCACCTTACCAACCGAACTCTTCTGCTGCAAGAATCAAAAACTACAAAAGGGCGGCCCACAGCTTTGAGCGAGTGGTTAGGAGAAAAGCTTTGCAGGGAGATGAACAGACAACACTGAAAAAGGTTTATCTCACAAAAATACAGTCTGATGATCAAGATAGAGCCAGCAATGATCAGTCTAGTTCTAAACCTGGTGAGTTTAATTTCTTGTGACTTGAAATTTATTTCTACAGGGTGTCCACACACAAAAATATGTACACACTTTATTCCATTCTCTATGCCCATGTAGTCTCGGTAGTGCAGTTGACTAAGACATTTGGTGTATAATTGAAAGGTTTGTGTTTCAGATCCGCACAGGAACATTATGTTTATGGGAGCATAGTAGTTAGACATTCATCACCCAGGAAAATGGACCTTTTTGCTTTTATGGTATCATTTACATACAAATAAAACTCTTAACTTTAGAATGCAGTCAGATCTTTGTGTGGGTTATGAGGCCCCATTAGGAGAGAAAGATTAAACCCTTTGCACCCTAACTAACATGTTGTTAAGGGCAACTAATCAGTGTTGTCTCCTTCAAAGTCGACTGCATTTTTGGGAAAGGCGAGGAACCAACATTCTGGATACAAATAAGCCAGGTTTGTAAAACAGATATGCACACAAAACTTAAGTTCTGGAACAAGATTAAAGTCAAGAAGTGGACAAACAACCAGAACTTTCTGCAGTAGTTTACAGCTGGAGAATGTAAAGAAGAAGAAATAGAAGATTGCAGTAATATTTATAAATTATAAAATGTTTTTTTCAGTGTGACTAAATGGTGCGGGGTCTGATGCATATCTTCAAATGTAAGAAGGGTGTGCAGCTCTTAGCTATTTAAGAATTGCTGCATTCACTGAAGAATCAAATCAAATCGGTCAGCTTACCAGACAGACTGTGTTTTACTGGATCCCAAGCCAAAAAAACAGTAAAGAAACTGAAAGAGCAGACCATGTAGCAAACATTGGAAGTCAAACAGAACTGTCAGATACAGGACCAGATATGAGGAAAATAAAACCTAGATCCAGGCAGCCATTAGAACCCATTGGAACACTACCCACTCAGTACACAATCCCGAAGACCCAGTCAACCTCCTCGCACAAAAGAAACAGACCATTACATTTAGTTTGCATACTGGATACAACAGACTCGGCAACCTGTACAAGAAATTTAAAATTGGGGATTTCAGAACTGCCAGTGTGGACAGGCACACCACAACACTGAACATGTGGCTATAGACATGCTCTCTGCATGCAGTAGAGAAATCCCAGGTTTGACCAGTTGGCATTTCAATGGAAACTTATTTCATTATCCACTTCTTTTCCTCTCAATGACTATTATTAAATTTCAGATCAACAATCAAGCTGTGAGAATAGTTCAGTTTTGGCAGAGAGTAAGGTCAGTATGTAACTGTTACCAAGGCCTTTAAAGCAAGACAAGAATAGTAATGCTAACCTGTTATTCATGCCATAAGGGGCAGTCAAGGAAGGTTGATGTGAAACAAGCTGCATGAATGGGTATACAGATGGCTAAGCAAGCATTTTTTTTTTTTCAAAGCCAGTATTCTCTTGGGAGGTAGAAGGCAGAGTAGGGGAAGGATAAATTATGTAGTTTTAATCCTCTCACCCTATTGTCTTGTTCTTAAAGTCCATGCTGTGTTGCGTTGGTAGTCATGTCTATCCACAACCTTCTGACCCGTGTACTTTCAGTCAGTTCTCACACAGAAGATCTTCCATGACCATGATATCAAACTGTCCAGCTTCTCTCTCAGTCACCCTTTGTCTCTGTCCCCTCCAATTTTCCTTATCTCTCACCAGGTTCGTATTAAAAAATAAAAAAAGTAAAGGACCCGTTTCCACACCTTTAGGCGTAGAGAGCATATAGGGCTAGGCCTATATTTTTATAGACCAATCGGCACAAGATGGGTGATGTGGTCAGCATCACGCCGGCCGCCTTTACTTTTCCGGGATTGCACCCGGTACCCACTCAAGGCTGGGTCGACCTGGGAGCCAAGTTCATTATTGAAAACAGTCCGGCTCCGCCAGGGAGCGACCAGGTTCATATTCAAGTAAAATAAAACCAAGTTCATAAACAAATTTCCTTACCTTAGTTTTAAAATGATTTATTTGTATGGTCACTCAGCATGATTACCTCTCCAGCAGAGAAGGAATGTTTGAGAGGCTATACTGTACTTTCATCAGGCATTATAAAATGTATGTCAGGTTTCATTCAGAAACAAGCAAGTAACTCCTTATGTGGTTTCTGGGGCCCTATTTTTGGAGCAAAAAGAATAGACCACTGCTCCTTAACAAGCATATTATAAAAGACTACTAAAATCATTAAAATGGTGCAGATATCACAGCTTAGCTGTAAACCACCCCAAAAAATTGCACTAACCATCTTCATAAAGACAAACATAGAGGAAGAAAAAGAAAGACAGTGAGGACCAAACCAGTCAACCTACCTTATAATGATGTGATGCAGTGTATGTGAAACATATGGAATGAACTGCCACAGGATTCTCTGTATCCATGTAAAAGCCAAAGAATGTGTTTCCGAGCTTTGAGACATTTCAGATACACTGTTTATTTTTATAGACCATTGGACACTAAGTGGGGTGTGTCGTCAATATCCTGCTGGCTGGCTTTTACCCCAGGACATTCTTGGCACTGGGTTAACCCTGGGAAACAGATCAGTTTTTATTAAAATGTACCTCAGTGGGGATTTGAACCTTGGACCACCAAATCAGCAGACACGCCTACTAGCCACTGTGACCCCTGCACCCATGTACCATGTTTCTCTGAAAATAAGTACTACCTCAAAATAGGGTCCTAGCACGATTTTTCGCGATGCTTCAATGTAAGTCCTACCCTACAAATAATCCCTAGTTAAGATTGTTAGCAAGATTGGGGTTAATGGTTCTACAGAAAATGGAGTTAAAAGAAATTCAGGCCGGAATTCTGGATTTGGAGAGTTATGGCGATGTTCCAGAAGATGATATGATAGTATTTGAATAAACATAGAATTTTGCACATGAGTAAATGGAGATTTTTGTATCTGAAGAAAAAGACATCCCCCCAATAAGTCCTTGTGTTAATGTAATACCCGGGTCTTAATTTTGGGGAACATTACAGTTAGTTACTCTGAAATTGATACAGTGACCTATCATTGTTATTGACTTTCATTACCACCGTAGCCTGCAGAGGCCAAGCATCGGAGACCTAAACCCGAAGCCAAAACTTCTCAGAGAGAAAGAACAAACAGTGAAGAAAGCAAACAATCAAAAATACAGTCTAAAGTGATGAGGTACGAGATGAAGAGGCAACAAAGAAGGGAGGTAGGTACACTGGCAATACTGTATACAGTTATATTTGTAACTAAATACTTTTCAGGTTTAACCCTGTAACACCACAAAAATGGGTCATGACCTCATAGGAATTCCCCCAAAATAATCCTTAAAAAACATGGGAATATTTTACAGATTACAAATAATTTTTTTAAATTATCTAAATTTGTTGATGTTTTTGGGGAGTTAAAAAAAGAAAAATTTAAGATAAAGAGAGCTGTCAGTAAACACAGAGTGAAGCAGTAAATGGAATACATTTCCAGAGGGCCTGACAAGCAATATATATTAGATGACTAGTGCTGTGACCCTATGACCTCTATCACTGAGGATTGAAGAAAAAATGTGACCACGAATGGCTTTAAAAAAAAGCTCTCTGCTTCACAGAAAAACCCCTCAATGCTATTTTTAGCTAATATATTAATATCCTCCTAAACAGGACGTGTCCATTTTGCAGCTTCTCAGTGCTACATGGTTAATGGAATAATGGACCTTTCTCATTCGTCATGGCAAAATATTGTTTGCCCATATTTGTATAGACCAGTCAACCCTGGAATTATAATATGGCCAGTATCTTGCTGTCTCTCCACCTTGACTTCAAAGAATATTTCCTAATCCTTATTTAGGTTGGGTCAACCTGGGAATTGGAGCCGTAACGTTCCAGCCAGGGGTCTTTGGTTTAAGTCTGCGTTTTATGACTTTGTTTCCCAGGTTTTCTTCTTTTATCTTCTTCTTCACTTTCTCTTTTACTGCTTTGGGTGTCGAGGTAGTTATAAGGGTCAGCTTCTTGCACTTCTGATCACCTCGAGCATAGACACATCCTGCTGCTTTAGAGTCTGTCTGATGTTATCTTTCCATCTTGTCCTTGGTCTACCTTGTGCTTTGCATCCTTATATGGTATGGCATCAGAATTCCCCAGTCTGAAATTTGTACCATCTGCCTGAGAGGCAAGGAACCAACAGTTGCATACAAATATGCCAGATCAGTAAAACAGATGTGCATGCAACACTCAGGTCCAGAAGTGGACAAACAATTTAATCTTTCCGTTGGATTTTACAGCTGATGAACGCAAAGAAGAAAAAGAAACTAAACAATCCTAAACCAAATGAAACAAGACCAAATCTGGTTGTAACTAATCAAAACAAATCTGATCTGATCTGATTCAAGAACCGACATCACAGCACTCTGGGCATTCCCATAAGCGCTCCGTCCCCATCTTCAGCAACCATCGAAGAGTTCCGATACTGATAGTGCCAGTAGCATACTAATCAAAACAAATCAGACCAGGTGAAATTAAACCAAATCAAGCTAAGCCAGATCAAACATTACAATATTATTTTCAGATTTATGCCTTGAACAAAGTGATGACAGACCTGGAAAATGAGCGATTCATCCTCTTCATGCAGGAAGTGAACTCCAACACACCTGTCATTTAGTTGCTATCGCTGTATTGATCTGCCAGATTGTGCACTTTGTTTCTAGATACTTCTCTCATTTCATGTGTAACTGATGTGTGTATCAAGTCATTGAACACTGTCTGTGGTAGCCTTTTAGAAAATTTAAAGTACTAGAAGATTCCACAAAAGTGAGAGAATTGGAAGGGAGAAAACAAAAGAGATTCAGAGGGGGGAAAAAATGAAGAGGAAGGGGAAAAGTAAAAGAGACAAGGAGGAGAAAAGTGTGGGGAAGGTGGGAGAAAGCAGGAGAGATAAAGGAAAGCAGAAAGGGAAGATTCTGGTACTTTCTGTCGTTGCACGGAAAGGTGTCATCAAAAACATTGGTCCATGATGTTGAAAACCGTTGGATATGGAGCAGTTGCTGGGTTATCCTCACAACACTCCAGACATATCCATAGGTATTCAGACTTCTCTCTCAACAGATACATCAGTTAATAGTGCTAGTTCTATGCTGGTTGACAGGACCTCATGCATCTGGTGTGCCTCTCATGCCTCACTCTGCTATTCTTTACTGCGGAGATATGGAGAAGTATGATCACTCACACATCAGTTAGCAAAACACTTGATGATAATATTTGCCCGAGAGTAAACAATTGAATAGCCTTGGCTAGAGGATGAAGTGCATCAGAAATTATTGAAAGTACATGAGACTAAGCTATAGAGAGATGTAACTACCAAAGACATAAAGTATTAACTATTAAAGTAATGTTTTCCCATTGTAAACTTGAATAAAGAAGACACAAACATTGCTTATTGTTGCTAGCCATTGTATATTCAGAATTCATCTGTAAAATCACATTTCTGGTGGAGAAAGGGGAGGGGGGGGGGTTTCCCTATAGATACTTAGTTGGTGTCTTTTCATCTTTCCAGACAGTAGTGTAATATTGTGCCATAGGAAGGCATGGAAATCCCAGCCCCTGGCACTGGTGAGTTTCCCTCATCTTGTTTTCCGTAATCATGTACACATTCAGTATTAACTGTTATTTCAGAATAATTACAGATTTACTGTGCATAGCTCCCTCAATATGGGATGCATTTTTTCATTATTTTAAAGCCCAACTCCGGCTGTTATCGGGGGCCCTTATATAACCTAACGGTTAAACAGAGTTTCTGAGACTTTCACCCAGATGATTCTCATCCAAATGGTGGCACTTTGTGTCACCGGGTGTTATCGCTTGTTGTGTGGTCCTGGCAGGGTTGAACTTCATTCATTCATTCAAACAGATTTACTCGAAGCTGGCATACATTTACATTCATGTATGTAAAGTAACATTTTTTACTAAATTTTTCAGTGCATTTAGGGGCTCTCCTAGCACATTTGGACGCAAGCGGGACGGCTTCGGTCGGCTTAGTGGGAGTTCTCTACCTTTGCCGCATTGAAAACAACGAGCAGAAAAGTCACGAATCAAATGACATACTTACCTATCATCATCCGGGTGCGTGTAGGGTTGCGTACAGTTGCGTGTAGGGTTGCGTAGTCATCATACGGTTGCGTCTAGGGTTACCTATCATCATACGGTTGCGTGTATGGCTGCGTAGGGTATCTATCATCATCATACGGTTGCGTGTAGGGATGCATAGGGTGTGGGTTGGGGATAGGGTTAGGGGTTAGGGTTAGAATTAGGGGTAGGGTTAGATGTGACAATGGTGACAATCCACCGTTCATCGACTGTTTGGGTGTGTATGTGACTGTGCGCGATTATAGGGAACTACGGCGTCAAAATTGTCACATCTAACGCTAAACCTAACCCAACCCCTAACCCTAACCTTACCCCTAACCCTAACCCTACCCCTAACCCTACCCTTAACCCTAACCGTCACCCTAACGCTACCCCTAATCCTAACCCCAACCCTAACCCTAACCCTAATCCTACCGCTAACCCTAACCCTACCCTTAACCACGCAAATTTATCAGTCATTAAAGCACACAGATCGGCCCCCCCCCCACACCACCCCCCCCCCCCCCCCCCCCCCCCCCGATTTCCCCGCAGCGTCAAAAGAAAAACCCAGATCTGGGGGACACAACCAAGCATTGGCAGCCCTGATGTCGACCTCACTGTCTTGTTTGATTCGTGACTTTTTCCGCTACTTGTTTTGAGTGCGGCCAAGGGAGAGAACTCCCACTAAGTCGACCGAAGCCGTCCCGCTTGCGTCCAAATGTGCTAGGAGAACCCATTTAAGTTTGCTTACAGTTTGTGTTTTTAGGTTCAGGAGAACTGCATAACTCTGTCCATCTTCTGTATTGTTAAAATTACTATTTGTACTACGTTGTTGTCAGCTCTGTGGCTAAGTCGATGTGAACGCTTCGTAATGCCGGGGTGCCGGGTTCGATCCCAGCTGCGGGCCATGCGCTTTGCGTTGGTTTCGACAGTGGTATCAGTGGGCCGACCGTCCACAACAGCCAGGGGCTGCTGGGGTTGGTTCTGCAATGTCTTTTAAAGGATACACAACTAGAAGAAGAAGACTACGTTGTTGGTCCATTACATATAATTTTTTAACTCTTAAAAGAGTTTGAAACTTCATCTTTTTGGGGATTTACCAACTGACCAACCAAATGGCAGTGCAGCCCTGGAAGCATGTTTTTAAAAAGTTAAATCTTCTTCTTCATTTTCACCGGCTGTGAACTCCAGCGGAAAGTTCTGGTTGTTCAACCACTTCTAGACTGGTTTACTTGTTTGCAGACTGTTAGTTCCTCGGCTCTCAGGCAGAGACACTTCGACTTCAGAGGGAAAATCACAAATTAGTTGCCGTTTACAACATGCTTGTTGGTGGACTATTATTTTTCCTCAAAATGGGGCCAAAGTACCCGCGCGGGAATGACCTCAAAATTGATTGAGTATTGTGTGATTTTGTTTAGCAATTTTATGATCAGTAGTTTGCTTCTGTTTTTTAATAACTGTGGTCCAAATCAAGTCAGAGTGATCTGTGGAAGTATCTAATCATGAAAAATCATCCAGTCTAAAAGGGGATTTGAACCAGGGACTATAAGACCACCGTGCAGATACATTAGCCATTATGTTAATGTGGCTTCCATATTAATTTTGCAATGAGATTAATTTTCAGGGTAACTATTCAGCATAATGTACAATATTTTACTACATACATATGTGTGAAAATTTAGTTGTTCTCTTATAGCTTGCTGTGTCTGTTAATAAAAAGAAACTTGTCTGGTTTCCACACACTGACGCACACTGCTGTTCTATGCGAGCAGGAAAGTAGTATTGTATTCTTTCTAGTATACTACCTTCTGCTTCCTATATCAGTTGCATGTAATATTGCTAGTCGTGACTGTCAGTATGTGGGGGGAGGGGGTTCATAGCAAGAAAAAAAGGTGCTAGTACTCACCAAACATAATTTTTTTTTTACAAGTACCAGTGCTCAACATGAACTGTTACAGTATTGCTGAAATGAATTATGGCTAAAAAAATATCACGGTGCTTGGAACCATTGCGTACTGCCAGAAAAAAAAATGCTTTGGTCATAATATATGCAGCTCATATACTGGCATTAATTTTTCTACTTTTTGTGTGTGTGATGTCTTTTGTCTTCCCAGAGAATTCAAGAATGTATACATATTTGCTTGCAACACTCTTATACCATATGCAATTTTGTGCATTTGTATCACAACATTTACAGTAGAAAAAATTAAAAATATTTGCTAATGAGTCTGTGTTAGTATTATGAATTATGAGTTTAGAAATTCAGCATTATTCAAAATAAAGAATATTTTATGCAATCTTTCTTTGTCAGTTGAGACAAGGAGGAGAATTCTTAAAAGCTCTAGAAATCCTATCTTGATATGCAGAAGTGAATCATGTGCAGTTAGCAGATTAGTGAAAATTTATTTGGAAGCTGCATAGGTGGGGTTTTATAGACGAGTGATGAGAATACCCTGGTCACTTTTTTTTTTTTAAAGTAGTAATGAGGATGTCTTGAAAGAAACTGACTCATGAAGAGAACTGATAACCCACATCACAAAGAGAAAGTCTAAATTCTTTTGTCATGTGATGAGTAGGAGAAAACTGGAGTACATTGTGACAGTAGGAAAGTTGGAGGGGAGGAGAGGCAGAGGGAGACCGAGAGAAAAGATACTGGACAGTATGACATCATGGCATGGAGGATCATCTGTATCAGAGTTGCTTGAAAGTACACAAGACAGAAAGTTGTGGATAGACCTGACTACCAATGACATACGGCATGGACTTTAAGAAGGTGAATGAAGAACCAACATCATAACACCTAGGACATTCCTATAAGCGCTGTGTCCCCATCTTCAAGAGCAAGCACAGAGTTTCAATTCCAATGGTCTGATTGTAGGTCCCTCTGGCCCCTCCCATATGTATTAAGCATTGGTCAGATCCTGTGGTCACTCATTGCTGAACCATTATCTATAGACCTTGATAATCTGCTGGTGCCTCTGCACTGTTAACTTACTCCCAAAGGGGCCCTTACACACAACTGAATTAACTCATAACTCATCGGCGCTGCCAGGGCAAAATTTGGAGTTGAAAATTTACCCAAAGTATTTCAGGATCCTCGCTGGTGCTACAGAGCCTGAGCACTGTGCTGAGCTTCTTCGGACTCAGACTTGAGTAAGAAAAAGAACGGAGCACTTATGGGTTACTACCCTGTGACATGATGTTGATCCATTGTTGAAAACCTCAAACCTCATACATGTTCTAGATAGTCGTGCATCAGTTCACCACCAAAAAAAACGATCTATCTGTCTGTTCATTTCCCAGAATACTGGCATTCCCTGAAGAAAATATGATCCTTCTGCATGGAGTTGAATATGGACAGACCTGAGTAGCGAAACAATATGTGTGATCTGCAAGGATTTGGTTGTGTAGAAGAATTATGAAAACTCTGTGGACAGACAAAAAGTGAAACAGTATGTGTAATCTGCAAAGATGTTGTTGTGTGGAAAAATTATGAAAACTCTGTGGACAGACAACAAGCCAAACAGTATGTGTAATCTG